AATTATCACCAAAAACCATTTTATTGTTCATATATAAAATAAATCAAGCATCACAACAAATCTCAAACAAAAACAAAAAACATTCGAATTCGAATTCGAATATATTCTATCCGTTTGTGATTCGATATTCGATACAATCGATATTTTTTTCCAATCGATTCGAATTTCTTGAAATTCAAGACAATCGAATGAAAAAAAAAATCGGGTATTTTTATTCTTTCACTTTTTTTGATGAAAAAAATTTGAAGACCGGAATTTGTTTGCCCGTAACCAAAGATGCAATATATCGAAAGAAAACAACAATTGCTTTTTCGTCGGACTATTTTCGGTCGATTGTGTGTTATTTGCAAACATTGAATGTTTTTGATGATGATATTGAATGAATGAATGTTTTAATCAAACTAAAAGCATTCGCGAACGAGATTTAGTTACATGGCCGAAAAAAAACGTTTCTCATTTCCCAAATCTTTTCCACGATTCATCGTTGCAAGTTTTTGCTCATTCATTTTTTTCCCTTTTTTATTGTTGAATTACTTTTTCTTTTTCGTTCCAGAAGATTGAGATTCATGCCATCCGGAATTGCTCGTTTCGTTTTGTTCACCATCATCATCTATGGTCGTCTCGTTTTTTTCTCTGATTCAATTCCAAGGTGACATCATCATCCAAAAATGGAGAAAATTTTCTACCAACCGATCGACGGAGAAAAAAAGTACCACAAAAAATAAAACCTCCGTATAAATGATTAACGGTTATAATCCTATTATCATCATCATCATCATATGTGTTAAGGATTCTGGCTGCTAAACAACAACAAACGAAAAAAAAACTTTCGGAATGAAAAGGAAAATTTATTACTTAGATTCTGTATATCGGCTGCAAAATCATATATTCATCCTACTTTCAAAAAAATGTGATGAAACTAAAAAAAAAACAACAAAAATTTGTCATTTCATAAATTATTCGAAGACGACAACAACTAACAACGAAAACTCACCAACATCATGATGATGTGGATATTTTTTCAACCATTTCCATTTCCAAAGTTTGTTGTTGTTTTTTGGTCACATTTTTCTAAAAAAAACAACAACAACAACAATCGGCTTATTTCTTTTTCAGTCAAAATTCTNGACCGGAATTTGTTTGCCCGTAACCAAAGATGCAATATCGAAACAAAAAAAAACAACAATTGCTTTTTCGGACTATTTTTTTTTGGTCGATTGTGTGTTATTTGCAAACATTGAATGTTTTTGATGATGATATTGAATGAATGAATGTTTTAATCAAACTAAAAGCATTCGAATGAGATTTAGTTACATGGCCGAAAAAAAAACGCTCTCATTTCCCAAATCTTTTCCACGATTCATCGTTGCAAGTTTGCCTCATTCATTTTTTTCCCCTTTTTTATTGTTAAATTTCTTTTTCTACTTTTTTCGTTCCAGAAGATTGAGATTCATACCATCCGGAATTGCTCGTTTCGTTTTGTTTTGTTTTGTTCACCATCATCATCTATGGTCGTCTCGTTTTTTTTCTCTGATTCAATTCCAAGGTGACATCATCATCTAAAAAAAATGGAGAAAATTTTCTACCAACCGATCGACGAAAAAAAAGTACCACAAAAAAATAAAACCTCCGTATAAATGATTAACGGTTATAATCCTATTATTATCATCATCATCATATGTGTTAAGGATTCTGGCTGCTAAACAACAACAACAAACTTTCTGAATGAAAAGGAAAATTTATTACTTAGATTCTGTATATCAGCTGCAAATTCATTTCATATATTCATCCTACTTTCAAAATGTGATGAAACGCAACAAAAACAACAAAAATTTGTCATTTCATAAATTATTCGAAGACGACAACAACGAAAATTCACCAACATCATAATAATGATGATGATGTGGATATTTTTTCAACCATTTCCATTTCCAAAGTTTGTTGTTGTTTTTTGGTCACATTTTTCTAAAAAAAACAACAACAACAACAATCGGCTTATTTCTTTTTCAGTCAAAATTCTTTAACGAATGAAACAAACAAACATCATCATTATTATTACGATTTGAATCCGATTTTGATTCATTACCTTGGCTAATTGAGAATCGAAAACAACAACAACAAAAAATCATAATGGAAAGTCCAAAACGTAATAATAATCATAATTATAATCATAATTTCTTTTTTAGCCGATTATTCATCATCATCATCATCATCATCATATTATTCATTTGAAATATAAAAAAAAGAAAAAGAATCTGTCACCAGCTGAATTCCATTGATGATGATGATGATGATCCAATGAGTAAACATTGACATTCTGTGTTTGTGTGCAGGGGTAATCCTCTCTCTCTCTATATTCTGGCTGTCTCATTAAAAGCTTATTTTTTCGGGGAAAAAAAGAAGGAAAAAACATTAGAGAGAATATTCTTTTCATCATCATCATATAAGGAATCGATGATAATAATGGAACATAGAACATTGGCAAATATTGTAATCGGTTATTTATTATTGTGCCAAAAAAAAAGAAGAAGAAAAAACCTCAAATATTTTCAACAACAGAAAAAAAAATGATCATCATTAAAATAAGATCCAACAACAACTGTTCTATGTATGTATATTTGCAGCACAATCATTCAATGTTTATGTTTTTGCAAAAATCCGTCAGTTCATATCGGATTTCAAACAAAAGAAAGAGAAAGAAAAATATTAGCTTTCTATACACATACACAAAACAAATTCAATCAAATTTATGTGAATTTTTTTTTGGCTGCGGTTTTTATGTATATATTATGTCCGTTCGTTTGCTTACATGTCATATACAATGATACCAATGAATCGATCATCAACAACAAAATCATCATAAACGATCATCATAATATTCAAACATCATTCGAATCCATTGGCCATCTGTCTTGTTATTGTTGTATGACTGGTTGGCTTGTTTCATCCATTTCAAAATGAATTACATTTGGATTATCGACCTTCGAAAAAGCAATGAATTTTTTTTTTGTTGTTGTTGTTTGATCGATGCAACCAGTGAAAAGGCATTGATGATGATGATGATGATATAGGAGTTGTCTTATGGTTGATTAATTATTTAATAATAACATGATTATTGCCTAAAGGGGAGTGATGATAAGATAAGATCTACATGTTTCTATATTTTTTTTACATGTACGATGTTGATCTTATCAGATGGAAATTTTGGGGAGAGAGAGATCCATTTCTAAATTTTCGATTTCAAATGAAAAAGTAAGCATTTTCAATATTTTTTTATTTAACAAAATCCAGACTTACATTTGTCTTTTGTGATGTGATGTATGGATGGAAAACATCCGTTTCGTTTTTTTTGGGCAATGTTTGTTTGGTTGTTTGTTTGTCGGCTTTCTGAAATTCAGTCATGTCAAAATTTTCGGTTTGTCTCAAAGGAATCTTTTCGTTTTTTTTCCTGTTATTTCATACTGCTACCGGACATGAATGATCATCGAATGATGGCTGTATCCGGTTTTATTTTCTTTTTTTTTTACCCGAAAAGAAGAACAAAATAAAATATTTTCATCAAAACACTGAGAAGGGGTGTATTTTTCTTTTTTGTTGGGTTGAACTGCTGCAGTCCAAACAATATCGAATTACAACCAACCATACCGACCCGAAAATGAATGTCAAACTGACCAGTTATGAGTTATGATGAATGATCATGATGATCTAACAAAACTTTTTTTTTTTCGTTCTGTGTTGGTTGAGAAATAAACAAGAAAAATAAACCAAAATTGCAATTATTATTATTATTTCATAAAGTAAAGTAAAGTTTACCCGTTTTTTTTTGGTGGATACTTTTACCCAGTAGAGTGGATACTTTGTTTTCATTTTCATTTTCATTCATAACGGATTTCTAATGGTCCCGGTGAGAATTACCGCGGTCATCATCATTGTCGTCGTTTGTCCATTTATAAAATTGTTGTTGTTTATAAAAAAAAAAAAATAAAAAACTTATTACAATAATTATTTTCGAAACAAAAAACAAACAAAAAAAAAATGTTTGAAAAACCACGAATTTGAGTGGGGAAAAAAATTCTTTTCGAATCTTTTGTTGGTCAGAATATTCGAATAATTCTTTTTGAAACATAAACGCCATCTAATGGCACGAAAAAGGATTTTGGTTGTCAAGTGTAAATCGTCTGTTTTTATTATTATTATTATTATTGTTTTGGTTTCATCGAAATTCGGATAGTGTGTTTACATTTTAATAAAAAAAATTTTCAATTATCAATATATGAATGATTAAGTCAAGTCATCAATCTTAAAAATGATAATCAAATCGATCGATTGATTGACAGAAATCAAATTTCGATTCACGAAGCCACAAGAAAAAATGATACGACGACACTTTTATTTTCCAACATAACTTACGACTCGAAGGTTGGCAAGTTTTCTTCTTCATCCTTTCCTCATTGAAATTTGAAATCGACTAGTTTCTCTTTACCTATCTATCTTTCTCTTATTATGTAGTTTAAACGGCTATCAATTTTTGTTTTCCCAAATTAATTGTGTGTGTGTGTGTTGTGGACATCGACGACAAATACGATGCAAAAAAAACATTGAAATTAAGTTTGTTGTTTTCAATCATTTATGGTGGAAACCAGAACAACAAAAAAAATGTTGTCGTCAATGAGTGAGGTCATCATTAACATCATCATCAATATTGATTTCATCATCATTAACCAGGATTCCAGAAATTTTTATTATTAATTTCAAAGTCATCGTTTTGTTTCTTTTGATTTAGAGCAAGTAAACAGCAATATTGTGTATGTGTCACATGTTGATTGCTCATTATTTATTGAAAAAAAAACAAAAGGTAGCCATAACAATTCCTGGTTAAATATAAATGAATAATGTAAGATGATAATCCTTCCATTGAATGCAACAATTTTTTTTGTTTTGTTTTGTTTTTCTCTTATTTCTTTCAATTATGATAAGTGTATGACGCCTTTTTTTTGTTGTTATTTCATTAAAAATCTAATCATCAATAAAAATAAAAACGTAGTAGCAATCATCTGTAAATGTGTTTGTTGTGATAAAAAAAATCAAAAATCAAACACACAAAATCGATTGAGTAATATTTATTCAAATCAATCAATAATTTAAATGCAATAAATAAACAAATTATTCCATGTGATAAACCAAAACAAAACAAAACAAAAAACATGAATCCACCATCAACAAGTTGCTCATCATCGAATCCTACAATTATCACCGATAATCATGGCAATAATAATAATAATCGTAATAAAAATCTTATTCTTTCCAGAAGGATTCATGGTTGTCAGCCATTGGTAAGTTTCGTAAATTTTGAATATTTTGGTTCAATTTTCTAATCAAATTTTCTGTTTTGTAGCACTTGAATAATACCGATAATGATGAAGATAATTGTAAATTATTACGATTAAAAATTCATAGTGGTCATAATTTAGCTAAAAAAGATATATTCGGTGCTTCTGATCCATATGTTCGTATTGATTTATTAAGAAAATCTGATCGTACTGTTATTGATTCATTATATACAAAAACTAAAAAGAAAACATTGAATCCATGTTGGAATGAAGAATTTATTATTCGTTTAATACCATCTAGTCATCAAATATTGTTAGAAGTTTTTGATGAAAATCGTCTTACACGTGATGATTTTCTTGGTAAAGTTGATCTTTTATTGAATAATAATATTCCTACTGAAATAAAAGATACAATTATTGAACCAAAACAATATACATTACAACAAAGAAGTCAAAAATCTAAAGTTCGTGGACATCTTGAAATATATCATGCTTATATTGATACACCACCAACTTCAACAACAACATCATCATCCATATCTACATTGGATGATGATGATGGTGAAGAAACAATCGATGATATTGATAATGTATGTTCAATGATGTTATTGTAAAAAATTTCATTTAATTTAATCTTTGTTTGTTTGTTTATAGCAAAATGGTTGGGAAATGCTTAACGAACCAAGAACTACAAATGTTGATCATCATAATCGATCGACAGGAAGTCAAGAAGATCTACCAAATGGATGGGAAGAACGTCAAGATACAAATGGTCGTACTTATTATGTAAATCATAATACTCGAACTACACAATGGGAACGACCAACCACCATAAGGTTAGTGTTTTGGTTTTAGTTATTTACAAGTTCACTATATTCATTCATTTTCATTATCTTTGTTAGTCATAATAATAATGGACCCTTATCATCTGAATGTTCAACATCTAATTCACTAAATACACCATCAATATCATCATCATCATCATCCAATCATAATGATCATCAAGAAAATCAACAAACATCAACAACAAATACTGCCACAAAACAACAACAAGCATTTTATCGTCGTTTTCATGTTGGTAGTAGTATGGATCAATCATTACCATCACAATCATCATTATCATCAAATGATGATGGCCATAATGTTAATGATGATGATGATGATGATGATGATGAACATCATTGTTCAAATGATTATTCTACAAATCAGGTATTTGATGATTGTCGATTTGATTTAATTTTTTTTTTTTAATAAAATTTATTTTCGGCACGTGCAGAGTTCATTGAATTCTGGTAATTCTAATCGACCTAATTCAGCACCATCAACCACAACATCAACAGATGATCATCATGTAAGTTTGTTTTTTTAATAAAATCATTTTCTCAATTCACAACAAAAAGGCAGTTAGATTAGGCAATGACGTTGGCAGAAAAATGTTTTCTGCCAAAAAAACAGACAAATCTTTTTTTCGATTCAAGGAGATTATGTCGATTTAGATGATTCAACAGAATATTTTTTTTTCGTTTTCAATCCAATCGTTTGTTGTTTTATTGTCGATATTTTCCTTTTCATTATTGAATGGAAAAAGTTGAAATTTTTTTTTATTATAAAAAATCACTACACACATAATAGATTTGATAATCAAATCAATTTGATTTTTTCCAATGACGACATTGTTTATTTCCTTTCAATTTTTTTTTGTTGAAAACTCCATACACCTGAATATCCTCTATCATATCATATATCTCTTTCTCTCTTTTGTTATCCTTGTTGGTTAAGTTTATTTGTTGATGTAGTGGTGTTTTGTTGTTGTTGTTGTTGTGCATTATTGTCATAATGTGATGATGATTAATTCGCAAAAACTTTCCTCTATGAAGGAAGGATTGACAAAAAAAGGATGACAAATTTTCGTTTCTCTCTCTCTTTCTCCTTTATATTATAAATTTTGTGACACAATCAAATAACAGACAATTACAAATATAGAGGGAAAGTTGTTTTTTATGGGAAAAAAATTTGAAAGAAACAGATATAGAGATAGTGATAGAGAGAGATATGAGAAAATTAATGACAATAACAACAACAGATATTGTATGTGTCGTGGTGGTAACCTATTGTGCTGTTACTTTGTGATTACTTTTACTTTTTTTTTCTAATATTTTTTTTGTTGTTGTTGTTGTTACTGGAACTTTGATCCGATTCACTCGAGAGATATTATTATTTTTTTTTCTAATCAGCAAAATAACAGATAGCGGAAAGATCCAATTAAATTTTTTTTATACTTTACTTTAAAACAATCAATTTTTATATTTATTTGTCTAAAAAAAATACTTGTTGCTTATCCAAAATTATCATCATTATTCTTAATTGTGACTCGGTTGTTTAGTCAGTTATTTGATTTTTTTAAAATACATTAACTTGTTGCTTTGTTTGCACTGGAACTTTGATACTTATGTTTATGTGTTGTACCGTACAAAATGGAATTATCATCAATCGATACAACCACGACTACGACGACAACAACAACAATAATGGACACGGCTAATATAGCCACTATTCGTTTGATTAATCCGAATATGAATCATAATAATAATGTTGATGTCCAATCTTTACCTGGTTCTAGTCGACAATTATCATTTGATTCAGGTTCTTCAATTGATACAATCACCACAAATAATAATCAGAATAGAAAAAAAAGACGATTTTCTTTTTTAAATATTATATTCAATAATAATCATAATCATTCCAAACAGCATCATCATCATCATAATCATCAAACTGAACAAACATCATTGACCACCAATCATATCGACAATTCAACAACAAACAGACGTTCGAATTCTATATCGACTGAAGCAGCAAACAATACAAATGATACCAATGATAATAATGATGATAATGATCAAAATGAAGATGAACAACAACAACAACTTGGACCATTACCTCCCGGTTGGACGCAACAAGTTCATGTTAATGGTCGTATTTTTTTCATCGATCATAATAATAAATCAACAACATGGATTGATCCAAGAACGGGTGAACCAAGTCCACCTCCACCACCACCACCCGCATCATCATCTCAATCGTCGTCATCATCATCATCATTAATGTCCGCTCTTCATAATCGTCAACATCATCATCACCATCATAATGATCATAACCAATCGAATAATTCAGGAAAACATCATCATCATCATCATCATGGCAAACATACATCATTCGATTTTAAACATTCAATTATCGATGATCTAGGTCCATTACCAGCCGGTTGGGAAGAACGTGTACATCGTGATGGACGAATCTTTTTCATCAATCACAGTAAGTGTTTGACCAAATATTGTCAATCGCTCAAATTGTTTCTTTCGTTTTTTTTCCGGCCAGATACGAAAACAACTCAATGGGAAGATCCACGTATCGATATGCCCAGTATTTCAGGGCCACCAATTGCCTATTCACGTGATTATAAGAAAAAATATGAACATTTACAAAATTCGCTTACCAAACCGAATGGACCGAATAAATTTGAGATTCGTGTACGACGTAATTCCATATTGGAAGATTCATTTCGTATTATCAGTAATGTATCAAGAGTTGATTATCTGAAAGCAAAACTGTGGATCGAATTCGATAATGAAGATGTACTTGATTATGGTGGTCCTAGTCGTGAATGGTTTTATCTGTTATCTAAAGAAATGTTCAATCCATATTATGGCCTTTTTGAATATAGTTCAACCGATAAATATACGCTACAGATAAGACCATTTTCCGGTCGTTGTAATGAATTACATTTAGCATATTTTAAATTTATTGGACGTGTTGCCGGTATGGCAATCTATCATGGTAAATTATTGGATGCCTTTTTTATACGACCATTCTATAAGATGATGTTGGAAAAACCAATCACATTAAAAGATATGGAAAGTGTTGATACTGAATATTATAATTCATTGAAATATATTCTTGAAAATGATCCCAGTGAATTATATTTGAATTTTTCGATTGATGAAAAATTTTTCGATGTTGTCGAAGAAAAAGAACTAAAACCGAATGGTGCACAAATACCGGTGACAAATGAAAACAAACAAGAATATATTGAGTATGTCAATTTTATTTTCAAATTGTTACTCAAAATTATTATTAATTTCTTGTTTTACATTTTAACTAATAGTTTAGTGATTGATTGGCGTTTTGTTTCACGTGTCAAACCACAAATGGATTCATTTCTTGAAGGTTTTCATGAATTAATACCGAAAAATTTGATTAAAATGTTTGATGAAAATGAATTAGAATTATTAATGTGTGGTATCGGTAATGTTGATGTAAAAGATTGGAAACATAATACCGTTTATAAAGGTGGTTATCATCTTAATCATATTGTTATACAATGGTTTTGGAGGGTAAGTTTAGGATTCGCAATCATTTTGAATTCATTCCTCATTGATTGATTGATTGATTGATAGGTTGTTTTATCGTTCAACAATGAAATGCGATCACGTTTATTACAATTTGTTACCGGTACATCACGAGTACCAATGAATGGTTTCAAAGAACTATATGGCAGTAATGGTCCTCAATTGTTTACCATAGAAAAATGGGGAAATTCACAAAATCTACCTCGTTCTCATACATGGTATGGTTGATGACAAATGAATTATTAATCTATATTTTTATCATTAATTATTTTTTTTTCTCTTTAGTTTCAATCGATTGGATTTACCTTGTTACGAATCATATACTGATCTACGTGATAAACTTATCAAAGCTATTGAAGGTTCTGAAACGTATGGAGGTGTCGATTAATAAAAATCTGGTCTGGTTTAGCTCACTAATTTTATCACTGATTTTTTTTAATATAACTGTGTAACATTGATTATGACTGATTATTCAATGTGCAATTTCTTTTCTTTGCAAAATGATTTTCTCTTTCTTGTTTAATTTTTTTTTCAAATAAACATTTATTCATCGTTTTTTCCTTTTATCAAATTTATAAGTAAAATTGTCATTTAGCTTAAATTCATAGTTCAGTGAGGTTAGGTTGATGACTATTACAATGACTATGATTTATAGTTCAGTGAGGTTAGGTTGACAAATTTTTCTCTTAATCATAATCAATCTTCGATTCGTTCAAACTTTTTTTTGCGTTGACTTATACTATCTATTTTTATTTTTTTTTTAATCTAAAAATTAAAGATTAGATTTAGATTAAAAAAAAAATATGAAAAAAGAATTCGACAAAAAAAAATTGGCATACGCCGATGCTGGGACTTGAACCCAGAACCTTCCGGTATCTGATGTTTTGATCATATTGATACACAATGGCAATATTATCATCTGAAATGATAAAAGCCGGACATTCTAACCAATTGAAATACATCGGCACACCTATATATGGGTGGTTCATTAATGTAATTGATAACCAAAAACAATCATTCGATTAATCACCGATTCTTTCATCAAAAAAAAAGTACCAAATTCGTGCAATGAAATCATATTAATTTAGGAATCAGAAAAAAATCAAATATTTTATTACAAATTCAATGTTTAAAAGATTTACGAATAAATTCCATACAACAATTATCGGGCAATTCAAATTGTTCATTTGAATTCTTACTTAGATCGATTCGATTCGATGAATGTTGATCAATTATGATTAGATCATATTGTTGCCATAATCGTTTCCAATTAATTTTTCGAAAAAACTTTCTGACATGACGACCTTGTTGATTGGATTGTATTTGACATTGAAATGATAGATCACGTTCAATTGAACAACGTATTACATTCAACGATACAGAATTTGTTGTGGACATTTTTCGAAGGAAAACTTCATAGATACGATTATCAAATGATCGAATCTTTATTGGTATTGATCGATTCATTGAATTACGACAATCAATATGATCAATAATCATTTGATTATATTTAATATCTGGATTCGGACAAGCAGATAATATTGGTACTAAATTAGCTAATAAACAATCATTTTTACATGCATCAATAATACGATTATCAATTTTTTTTAATAATCGTCGATGTTCACTATAAGTAATATAATTAATTTTTTTGTCATCATCATTATCTTTATTATTATTATTATTCGTATTAGACATGGTTGTGATAATTAGTTTTGAGATTTGGATTTTTTTTGATCACCATCATCATCATCATTAGCATCGAAACCTAAATATTTAAAATCTTCTTTTGCCATCAAATCTTTTTCCATACGACATTCAAGATATTGGCGAGCAAGTGTTTGACATTTAGCGGTTACTTTTGAATTTGTTCGACGTAAACAATCGGTATATTGTTCCATAATATGTTTACATTCACCATAATGATCCAATGGAAAACTTCCTTTAGCCGGAGGTTTTGGAATGAATAATTTTGAGCCACCGATTGTATTAGCCATGTTGTTCGGCAGAACGCACACTGATCACATGGTCGCATCATACTGATGTCGATATAGGCGAACATTTGATAAACACGTGATTCACGTTTGGCAATTGACATTCAATTCAATTCAAAACAATGAAACGAACTAAAGAACAATCAAAAAATCCATCTTCATTGTTTCAGGATGATAATAAACTTTATTCAAGAATCTATAAGGTATTTTTTTGAAAATTTCATTCAAACGAAAAAAAATCTAATTAAAATAATGAATTCATAGATATTAGAAACGGAAACAATCACCGATGTTGAATCAATTTTAGCCAATCTTCAACGAACATATCCCGAATATGGACGTAAAAAACGTCTTGTATTGAAACGTTCTGTACAAAAATGTATTGATAAAATTGTCAATGATTTTGATATTGAAGATGCTAGCGATAATGACGATGATATTTGTGATGATCAACAACAACATCAACAACAACCTCAAATAGTGCAAAGCACAAATCATGTAAACAATACTCTTAATCAATTGTACAATAATGATGTGGGAAAAAATTCCGATGATAAAGGAAAACGAACAAATATCGATGTACAACGGTCCAACTTTTCAAATGCTGCAGCATCTTCTTCCACAAGTTCGAAACGATCTCGAATCGAGGAGAAAATCGAACGTGACATCGAATCAACATTAGTCAAACAAGCCGCTTTACGACAGCGATATCTTGTTGAACCAAAAGTTCGTTTTGAAGATTTTGGCGGTCTTGACGATGTGATCGAAGATATTCAAAGATTAGTATTTCATATTCATAATCAAGATTTATATCGAAAATTAGGTGTAGATGCACCACGTGGTTTTCTGTTACACGGACCACCAGGTGTTGGTAAATCATTGTTGGTCGAAGCATTAGCTAATGATTTACAAATTGCCTATCTCCGATGTGGTGCAACAGAAATTGTTGCTGGTATTTCTGGTGAATCGGAAGAAAAAATTCGACAATTGTTTGCCTTGGCAAAAGAACTAAAACCGTGTTTATTGTTTATCGATGAAATCGATGCCATCACACCGAAACGTGAGAATGCGGCTCGTGAAATGGAACGAAGAATTGTTACACAAGTTATTACCTGTATGGATGAATTATCGGCTAGTGATGGATCAGGTCATGGTGTGATGGTGATTGGTGCGACAAATCGTCCGGATTCATTAGATCCAGCACTTCGTCGTGCCGGAAGATTTGATCGTGAAATCGCCTTAGGCATACCGGATGAAAAATCCAGACTTGAAATTATACGGGTTTTATTTCGAAACATTAAAGTGGATTCGAATTTTGATTTCCAAAGTCTTGCTCATCGTACACCCGGATATGTTGGTGCCGATCTAAAAAGTTTAATTCGTGAAGCAGCCATTTTGGCATTGGAACGATTTATGAATCCATCATCAACACCAACAATAACTATCGAACAAATTGATGAAACAAATTTTCAGATTGAAATGTGTGATTTTGATGGTGCATTAAAACGTGTACAGCCTTCATCAAAACGTGAAGGTTTTGCTACAGTACCGGATGTCACCTGGAGTGATGTCGGTGCATTATCTGATATTCGTCAAGAGCTACAATTATCCATTTTGGCTCCGGTTCGTTTTGCATGTGATGTTGAAAAACTTGGCCTTTCATTATCGGTCGGTATTTTATTATGTGGTCCACCGGGTTGTGGTAAAACATTGCTGGCCAAAGCGATTGCCAATGAATCGGGCATAAATTTTATTTCGGTCAAAGGACCTGAACTTTTGAATATGTATGTTGGTGAATCGGAACGTGCCGTTCGTTCTGTTTTTAATCGTGCACGTTGTTCAAAACCATGTGTCATTTTTTTCGATGAAATCGATGCTCTATGTCCACGAAGAACAGATTCATCCGATGTAAGCCTTTTGTAATGATGTTTATGTCTAATTTTAATGTCCAATTTTTATTGTTTATCAATTTTAGTCATCGAATGTTACATCACGTGTTGTCAATCAATTACTCACCGAAATGGATGGTCTAGAATCTCGTGATTGTTTCTTATTGGCCGCTACTAATCGTCCAGATATTCTTGATCCAGCCATTTTACGTCCTGGAAGATTTGATAAAATTCTTCATGTTGGATTTCCAACCGCTAAAGATCGATTCGAAATTTTATGCACAATGACTAAGGTAACAACAATGAATTTTTTCCACAGTCAATATTGATTTTTAATTCAATAGAACAAAACAAAACCACCGATTTCATCGGATGTTGATCTAGAACAATTGGCCAGTGATCCAAGATTAGATGGTTTTACAGGTGCCGATCTATCAGCATTAATTCGTGAAGCTAGCCTGAATGCATTACGACAGAAAATCGATGGAATTCTTCCATTCGACAAGGATTTAATATTGAATTTCGAACATTTCGATGCAGCATTGAATAAAGTTCGACCATCAGTATCGATTGTTGATCGACAACGTTACAATCAAATGCAATCATTATTCACAGAAACAATAAACCGAAAATAATATTAAATTCTATTTCAATCAATCAATTTTAATATTTTATTTAATTATTAAACATTTTTTCGATAATATCATTCTGATTTTGGTCGTGTTTTTACTAAACGAAGATTTTTCGGATCAGTTTTACAATCCAGATAATCACTACCAAAATGGAAACATTTTTTCTTTGTTTCTTTGTCATTTTGACCACCTTTTAAACAACGAAAATAATCAATAAGCATATGTTTACATGGATCTTTTGAATTTTCCGATATATCAATTTCGATAAAACCGGACATGTTTGCATTCAAAGAAATGGATTAAAATTCGTCACAATTTTGATGAAATCAACCGAAAAAAAAGACATGTGATGCATACGGCAAAATCAACCCGATTGGCTTGGAAAGTGATACACAATAGTCGATCAAAAACAATCAAAGTTTGGATGGATGCAATTTTTTCTCCTCTTCCGTTATATTTATTCGCTTTTTTCGGTTTGGTGTTTCGGGATATTTTTTTTCACCGATCCTTTTTTTGTATTTCTCAATTCTGGTATACTTTCCAGACTCTTGTTTTATATAGTGAAATTATCAAAGCAGTTTCAATTCTAACGGTCGAATTCAGTATCTCTCTCTCTCTCTCTCTCACTTTGTTTGTCTGTATCTGCGCATCGGCTTTTTTTTGGGTTGTTTACTCGATATATTTAGCTAAATATCGAGTGAGTATCTTTCCCAATCACTTTGTGTGTTTGTCTGATAAGGCCAGCAAAGCAAGATTGAAAGAAAAGAAAAATCATCGGTTCAGCCATCCATTGAGTAAAATATTACAAATTGAAACAATCTCTTTCTCTCTCTCCCCCTTCATACACAATTAATGATAAAATATTTCAATTGAGAGAGAAATAGAGATAAATTTGTAATTAAAAAATTGATTAACTTTTTTTTGTTGTTGTTTGGATTGAATTTGGTTCATCATTTCAATTGATTTTCTTTTTTTTGCCAAAAATAATCCATTCAGTAATAAATAAAGATGGCATCGAGCAATGCGGCCAACACTCAATCGCGTCGTTTATCGTAAGATTAGCTTAATTCCCTTAATTGAATATTTTTTAAAATAAAAATGACTGATTAATTTGTTTGTTTTTTTGACTATTAGTGCAACCGGTGATTCATTGTACATTATATTAGGTATCGAAAAAACATCTACACCCGAAGAAATTAAACGTACCTATCGCAAGGTAAGCATATTGTCTAATAAAATTATTGATTTTACCACGTTCGATCACAAATATAGTTGGCATTGAAATATCATCCGGATAAAAATCCAAATAATCCAGAAGCAGCCGAAAAATTCAAAGATATAAATCGTGCACATTCCATTCTATCGGATGAAAATAAACGTAAATTGTATGACAATTATGGATCAATGGGCTTATATTTGGCTGAACATTTGGGCGAAGAAAATCTTGGAGCCTATTATCTACTTACATCAGGATGGTGTAAAGCATTGATACTTGGTTGTGGTATTATAACCGGGTGTTATTGTTGTTGCTGTTGTTGTTGTTGTTGTTTCAATTTTTGTTGTGGCCGTTTTGCACCAAAACAATCATCCGAGGATTTTACTTTCAATGCGGTAATGATGACAAATTAACTGTTGTATTGAAATTGAATTGAATTAACCATTTCATTTTTTTTATTGTTACTAGGATGATCTTAAAGAAGATAACGATACTAATCAAACAACTAATGAACAATCCCCATGGGGTGCAGATTCCAGTGAAACCACTAAATTGACCGCTAATAATGCCATCGGTAGCTCACAACAACCGGTCACTAGCCAACCAGGTATTGGTGGTCATTCACCATCATCAGATCCTTGGAATGATCAACGTCCAGTGATTCCTATGCCACCACCACCTTCTGCTAGTGAAACAACAAATCTAACGCAAACTTATCATTCCAATTATCAATGAATAGACCTACATTGAAATGATGAATTCTCTCTCCCTCTCTATCATTTAACACGAAAGATGTTTATTCATAATTTTATTTATGGGAAAAATCTTAATTTATGAACACTTAACACACACACACACACCTACAAACACAAAAACCATCATTAATTATCATGATCATCATCATCTTTGATTGTGCACATTTTTTCATTTACACACTCTGATAGGTCATCTGAAGCAATTCTTTAGGAATCTCATCAATAGAGGATCGACCTTTGTTTGAATTTGCTGAATTTTTTTTTCTCTAACTTTTTTTCTTTTTTGTTTAATTTTATTTTTCATTATTAATGTTCTGTATACAAAGCACTTATTGTGTGCATGTGTGGATCCAATAATAATTTTAATTAATCAATCAATCAAATGGTCAAACAATTCGCCTTTTAAACAAAACAAAAAAAAACAATTTAATATCGAATTGCGTGTGTTTGTATTCTGTTTCATTATTATTATTCTGATTATGTTATGATCAAAAAAAATCTTGTATGTACAATGCATGTGTGTGTGTGTGTTTGTATGTATCGATATGAAAAGAAAATTTATTGATTAAATTGATTACCTATTAGACGATGATTTGTCAATTTTTCTAAACAATAATTTAGGCCATATTGTTGATATTGTTGTCGTGATATAGCATATCGATCATAAACACTTTGATGATGATCATTATTATTTTTAATTTTATTATTATTATTCTTTAATCCTTCATTTTGATGGCAAAGAATACGACCACCTTGCCATGCATAGGTTATAGGGTTTGATGGTTGATATACATGAATATCGATTAGATCGGGAACAAAGCCACGCAAATCATTATAGACACGATCACGAAAATTGGCAAAACGACAATTTCCACCAATCAATAGAATATTAGCGTATAATCGGGCACGAATATTTTCATCATCATACATTTCAAGGCCATTCATTGATTGTTCATTCGAACCATTAGTATATTGAACTTGTGATAATCGTGGTTGCTTAGCATCCGATGGTCGTACATTTCCATCTCGGCCATTTTCCTCTTTTTTTTCATTACCATTATTATCTTTTTCCACTTCTCCATCTTGATCATCGTCGTTATCATCATCATCATCAGCTACTTCTTCTTCATCTTCATCATCCTCTTCTTCACTATCAATATCTTTTAGATTTTCCGGACGTTCACGGCCACCACCTCCACTACCAGTATTAATCGTATCATTTGACCCATTATTACCACCATTATCGATGGCCTGTTTGGACGACATTAATCGAAATGCCGGATGAAATTCATTCAATGAATAGATGATTGTTTCAACAATACCAATCTGATCCATATTAATATCACTTGGATGGAATAGAATTTCAGGCACCTGAAAACGTTCATTATTCATTCGAATCAATTGATAATCCGATGTATTAATATCGTTATGTTTGATCGGATCATAAACAAATCCACGTTTATAGACAATATAATCCGGAAGGATATAATCTCTTACAATCGGGTTATCTTTGCCGGATTTTTTCGATGCCAACTCCAAATCATGCCAAAAATCCATTGATACAAAACAACAATCTTCTTTCATTTGATTAACAACATATGTCTCATCCAATACATTGATTTGTCTATAGGAAAGAATTTCTTTCAGATGATTAGTCAATGCTTTTCCACCGACATTAACACGTTTTGTATGAGTCAATAATTTATGGCCATCAACAAACGGTACAATATGACTGAACGAATATCCCGAATCAAGTACAAGGCAACAGGATGGATCTGTTCGACATTTTGATGTATTTTTTTCAATATCTTTATCATTTTCATAATGAAATGCAGCCAATTGTGGTGCTGATGTAATCAATACTTTACCAAAACCATATTCTTCAAATAAAATTCTGATCATTGTTTGTCGAATTTCGGGAAAATTATATACTGGCTCTGTGATCAGGATACCCGTATGAGAATAACGATTTTTGTTGTCTGGTTGTAGTTTTAAAACAATACGAAATACATAATCCCAAATCTGTCGTTGTATATCCCAATTAATTAGATAACCACGATTAAATGGTAAAATGTAAAACATTCCCGAATAATCTTTACATTCTTCCATTTGATCACCAATAAATGGTCGACGTTTTTCATTTTTTACTTTTGTTATACAATTTGGTATTATCCTTATGATAAAACAAACAAACAAACAAATCAATCAGATTTGAACAAAATCAAAAAAAAAAAAATTGAAAACAAAATCATTACCTTGGTATTGTATCGGTATGTAAACCAACTTTCATCGTATGTGCACCATTATCAATAATGACAATTTGATTAATTTGATCATTTGCCATAATCAAAAACAAAATTCAAATAAAAAATATATTATGAAAAATGCAAAATGCAAAAAACAAAAATCGATTGACAATGAAACTGTTTATGAACCATTGTTTATGAATGTATCAATTCGAATGTTTAATGTGTGCGCATGCCGTGTTTCAAAAAACATCAAACATTTCAATTTTTTTTCTCGTCATAATAATAACGATGGATAAATTATCAAATGTTACTCGTTTCTTATCGGATTTTCCAAATCTTAGTCCATCATTAAAGATTAAATTTGAACAAAATGGATTTATTCTTACAAATCAGCTTCGATTCTATACGAATATTCGTATTCTAGAACACAGACAATTCGGTTTCTTATCAGAAGAAGTTGATGAAATTGAAACAAAAATATTAGGTATTAATTGCACATCATGTCTAAGGCCAATGACGCCATCGACATTGGATATTCAGACGGAATATATTCGTTCTGGATCCAATGGTTTTGATCAAGCGTTTGGTGGAAAAGGTCTGTCAACTGGCCGCTTAACACAGGTGTTTGGCGAAGCTGGTGCCGGTAAATCACAGATCTGGTAATTGATAGACTAACGTGATTTTTTTTCGTCAAAATTGATATTGTTTTTATCCAGTTTTCAGCTCTGTTTTCGTGTTCGTTTGGATGCAAGTGAAGGTGGTCTAAATGGCGAAGCATTATATCTGGATACAGAGAATTCATTTCGACCTGAACGAATCAAAGAGATGGCTATGAATTATTACTGTGATCGTATTCAAGAAGAACATCTACTTAAAAAACGAATTGAAGAAATTCTTATGGGAATTCATTGTCGTTATGTTAATACACATGCAGATGATCTTTTAACTATGATCATTGATGGTCAATTGGAATCATTTCTTGATCATCATTCGAATGTTCGATTATTAATTCTCGATAGTATTGCCTATCATTTTCGTTATGATTATCAACATGAAAGTAGTCATCGTATTGTTCAATTAATGACTATTGCCAATAAGCTAAAACAATTGGCACATGAACGAAATATGGCTATAATTATAATTAATCAGGTTAGTTTATGGGCTGATAATCAAGCATTAGGTGAACCGTTGAAAACAACCTGTTCTACCACATTGAATGTTAAACGATTGGATGCCTCAAATTCATCGATAGAAAAAACTTTGAGACAATGTAACGTTATCAAATCACCGTCTGTGGATAAAAATTTTCATTTTAATTATATCATTAATGTAAGTCGAAAAAAAGGAAGAAATTTTGTTAATTTAATTTTAAAAAAATTTTTTATTAGAAATTTGGGATCCAAGATCAGTCGAAATAGTGAATGTATTGAAATAGCCAATCACATGGATTCGAAAATTTTTGAAAATGCAACATTTTTTAGCTAATTTTATCTTTCGAATAAATCCAGTGATTGCATCACAACAGATGCGTGGTCACCATTTATTTCGGCAAACATTACTTAAACAACAGCAACGATTATTAGATAAATTTGATCGTGAAGTTCGTGACACAATGGAACGAATCAAAACAAATCAAAAGGTAAAGATCAAACGGAAAAAAGCTGCACTTTCAGCCACCACTAAAGCCTTAATGATGGATTCGAAAAATCATATCAATCCGATCGTAAAAGAATGGAATTATCCGACTGGTTCACCCGAACAACTAGTGATACGTCGTCAAGGCCTACAACAATCATTCATAACAAGTCGAATGCGAATTTTAAATACAAATTTTCTACGTGCAACGGCTGAAATATTCGCTACGGATAGTCATTTATCAAAATTGATTCTAGAATTTAAATTTCGAATTACCGATGTTCGTGTGTCTGGTGATTACCAATATCTTCAGGTATATTGGACGAATGAAAATGCCGATGATCGTAAGGAGATTGGTTCCATCCTGAATTCCAACAAAGGTCGTCTTCATGAATTGTTGATTGGAATGCAATTTGCTCGTAATGTTCCTTGGATACAATTTGTATTCGATTTACAAGCATCAAATGAACAGGAGATCGAGCAACGATTGGAAAAATGTCGTGCTGAACTTGCAATCAATGATAAAATCAATTCTAATCAATCTTCATATCCACTTGTTGATCGAATCAGTACAGCTGGATCATCATCATCATCAACTTCTATCGATGACATTAAACAATTAAGTTATCAAAGTCAAGCAAATGAATATGATGAAATGAAAATGCCGGCCAATGTGTTTAAAAAATACGTACCAAATTTGGATTATGAAACATTGATGAACAAAGTGATACAAAATATGCCACGAACAAGAGCACAACATCAAGAGGATTTATTGCAGATGAAAGCACTTGGTAATCCTGATTCTGAACCTTTATTGAATTCGATTCCAAACTCGAAACAAATAGCACAAACACAACCAATTAATTATGATACAGAAAATCGTATCAAATCGATTAGAAAATTTGTTCAATTAAATAGAAAACGTAAAGATAAAATGGAAAGACGATTAAAATTATCGATACTATCGGAAGAAATTGAACGTTTTGATGATTATGGTGAATTAAAAGAACAATTAGAACAACGTTATCGTCAACTTTTTCCCGATCAAATTGAATCATTTATTGAAAATGAATATTCTTCTCAACAAAATGAAAATGATTGATTTTACCATCGATCAATATCAATATCGAGCATAGCAAATGTTTTGATTTGTGAACCATATTTTCGAATGTACATAAATTTAGCATAATCTTTTGTTGCATTACGAATGGCCATACTAATTGTAACGATTAAAAATGATAATATTAAATAAATAATTGTAGCAATAATTGCTACAATTCCTAAATTATCAAATACAGGTTCATTCGATACTTCTTTTGTTAATTGTAATGTTTGTTCATCGAAAATTTCTTCATCATCATCATCATTATTTGAATTATCTGAATCTTTTAATTTATCTTTTTGAAGTATTTGTCCTTCAAACATTCGATAATAATGACCAGCACAACGAAATTCACCATAAAAATCAATTGGACGCATTATTAATCGTACTGAATATTATTATTTAAAAAAAAAGAAATTGATAACATTTACCAATCAATCAATCAATCAAACATAACTAATGATGTAATAACATACATGACATTAATGTATTATTATATTCAATTATTTGAATTTCAACTTTTTTCGGATCAATTATAAATGTCCAATTGACCGACCAACGAACTTTAATTTGATTATTTGTTGGATTGAATAAACAATCCAAATGATTAATCGATTCGTATGATAATGATAAAAATGATGTAATTATTATCATTAAAATAATTATGAATGATTTCATTTGTATTCAAATTCAAAATATAATAACTATAATAATAATATTGCAAAATAGCTTTGTTATGTTTAAACAAACAAACAATTAATTAAATTATTCGTAATTGTCGAAAAAATTATCGAATTGTTGTGGTGAATTTTCATCGAATTCGGCAAAAGGAGCCTGTGTTACTTGTGAAATGAGATCTTCATTTAGATAACGTCTAAATGGATGATGTTTGAAACATCCACCCGGTTGTCGTACACCATGTAATATTAATTGAACATTATTCAATTGTAATACGCTCTTATCTTTTTGCTAATTGTTTTTTTTTCGATTAAAATCAATTAGAACATTAGGTCATTCGATCATTTTAGAAATAAAATTACCGAATTTTGTATGTAAAGACGCCATAAACCGATAGGTTTTTCACCCCAATAATGAACAGATGTAAGATTCCAATTATGAAAACCATCCATAGAATTATCTTTAATTCGTGGATACATCAATACTGATAAAGTATCTGTATGAAAAAAAAACCAAGCAATCGTAAATTGTTCATTTGGATTTTTGTAAATAAATAAATACCTTGTGGTGAAAACATAAACATTCTGGTATTACCACGTTTACTTGTTTCCAATGTTATTTTTATCTGTACATGTTCAAGAAATTCAATCGGACAATCCGGTTGATTTTGTTGGAGCAGGAAATATACTCGAATTATATCACCATTTGTTGATACTTGCTGTTGAAATAGTTGTTTCGGTTGAATTACACAGATATATTTTTCAGGTACTGGATCCCATCTGGTTGCCATTCGTACTAATGATTCGGCCATTAAAAGACCAAAACCAAAACGACTATTGAACAGGAAACCTGCACCATTTTTACGCCATCCACGTTCATCTAACAATGGACTAAATTCCGATGTACAAACAATTAAATGTTGTATATCACGCCATGTTAGATTAGGATTTGCTTCCAATACTAATGCTAATATTGCTGCTGCTAATGGTGCTGCAGCCGATGTTCCTGAATGTTCTCTTGTACATGTATTATGAATATCAGTTGTTGCGATTTTTTTATCACTAAATGCACCGCTTGAAAATGCAGCCGCTAATGTTGATGAACATTTTTCAGCATACCATGGAAAACGACCTGATTCACTAACACTATTGATTGAAATTGTATATATTGAACTAACATATCCATCACAATTACAATTATCACCACGACTACCACCATTACCGGATGCCCAAACATAAATATTTCCTCTTCCTTTACGACCATGTGTTATACCACGTTCAAGTGCCATTTGAGCTAATATTTTTGGTCCATCAACTGTCATACCGTCTACATAATGAATGTGTGAAACCAAAATTTGTCCACCAACTAGCAAATAACTTACCATCACTTGGTCCCCAACTAGCACTGTAAATATCGATATATTCATTACGAAATGCTAATGAATTTGCTTCGACAATATCGGATACATCACCATCCAAACATCGAATACCACCGATACGAGCATGATATGCTGCACCAACACCACATTTTTTATTCTGCGGTATCATCGACACAACACCAGCACATCTTGTTCCATGTGAATTCGAATTGAACATATCATATCGTGGTGCTATTATCATTTTCCACCAACACAAACAATGCACATTCAATAAAATTGGATAAAATATTCGAAACGAAATTACTTACTTGGATCCGGATCATCATCATTCATATCATAACTAGCATTATGATCATAATTTGCTTGTAAATCGGAATGATTCCATTCTAATCCTAAAATCACAATCGCAATTAATCGATTTTTGGGATATTATTTATCAATCAATCAATTATCATTCATCTCAACTTACCATCATCAAGTATACTGACAACAATACCTTTACCAGTAAAACCCATATCCCAAACACGAGTTATACCATGATCAAATCTTGAAAATCCTGATGAATGTATATGCCATTGTGATGGCCATAATTCATCATTAAATTGATGTAAAACTTTATTCTGATTCATTCCAAATGAAAACATAAATTGTTGTGTTGTATCCCATAGATTACGTAATTTATCATTAAAAGAAGATGATCTTTTTGTTTTGTTCGATGCTGGTGGTGGTGGTGGTGGTAAAATTGTTCTTTTCACACGTATAGCTGATCGTTGTTGTTCGGACCAAATTATTGATGAATCATTTTTTAATATTTGATCATGTTCAATTGCTTGTCGTTTCATACGATGATTTTCGGGTAAATCTTTACGACGAAGTATGTAAATATTATCAAATCCATCCAACTATCAGTGGGGAAAAATTTGAATGATAAATAATCAACAACAACAAGAATCACCAACAACCAAAAACCTTGCCTTTTGAATCAATTCAAAATTATTACGACGAGCCACATCTTTTGCCTTGTATACATCACCATCGATTTTTACTGCCCAAATATTTTGATAATTCTCTTCGGAAGCTACTGCATTCAGATTAATGGCTAATAATACTACCAGGCAAATGATCGAATTCAGCCAACTTATCATTATCATTATCGTTAAGAAATGAAATTCAACCAGGGAAAAAAAGAGCAGCAATCAATGTGGAATTTTGCATCAAAACCCAATCATTCGATTGATGATTATGGCGATCAGGTATTTATATTGATTACAATCAATCAATCATTTAGATCGATATTGCAACGACAGAAAAACAACCAAAAAAAATTGATGATATTCCACCCCATTCATTAGTTGAAACCAGAAAAATTTTTAAAAAAATTTGATTCGACCATAAAGATGATGATGATGTTTATCTCTTTGGTCACGATTCATTTTGGTGTGTAATCTTTTTCTTCTTTTTGAAATTTGATTTTTTCATTTTCATTTTTTTCCATAGAATTCTGGAATTGATTGCGCATTTTGTAAACAACAAACCAAGCAAAACAAACAAACAAAATTATCTGGATGTCGCTTATTTTTTTTTTGGCATAATGATCTGTTGATGGAAAAACCCTCATGTCCTGTCTATTTGCCGTATGGATCCAAAACGGAAATTGTAGCCATTTTTTTGTTGATTGTCGATTGTCGTAGGTGCAATCATCCTTTGTTTTTAACAATCGATTCTTATTACAATCAAACGATTTGGATTCAATTTCCTGTGTGATATCATCATCAACATGGCAAAAAATTTTTTTGAAAACTTTTTCCAAAAAACAATGATAAAAGATGGCGTTACTTTGAAAAATTTTTTGCCTTTTTGGACATTTAAATCACATTTTTTTTTCTATACACACACACAATGCCAGCTGGCTGTTTTGATGTTTGCTATTAACACCATGGTCGATATACCATGCTACTAGCATTATCTCCTCAATGCATTTCTTTGTTGTTTGTTTTTTTTTGGCTGCGCATAGAACTGTGTTGTATACTGCCGTCTGCTGCTCTTTATTCAATTCGATTTTCATTTCATTTCATTATCCTCATCCTCAATCAAATGAAAAAATATCGTGTGTTCGAAATCATCAAAATACAATAATAATAATAATGTAATCGGATGCAGGAGAAGCGTCTGTATTTTTTAATAATAATAATAATCTGATTGTCTGTTCATTTTGATTTTTTTATTTTGTTTGTTTGTTTGTTGTTGATCGTAAAATCATTTCCATTTTATGATTTGAGTTTGATTTTTTTTGTTGTTGAGAAATTTCGAAATTTTAATCTTAAATTTTGTGTGTTTTTTTCTTCTTAAAATTCTAGAATTTTATTTGTATTTTTTTTTTCATTTCAATCAATTGTAACATTCATTCAGTCATTCCTAAATTTATTCATTCTCGATGATATGTCATAATTTGGAAAAATCATCACCATCAACATCATTATCAATCGTTGAATCATCAACGTCCGTAAGAACATCGCAGCTGTCAAGTGAAACGATCATCAATAATACTGGAACAATTCTGATGATTCGTCGACAGCATCGAACATCGGCAACAGTGGCCAATACAAATGATATGAATACAGCTACTGCATCTGCCATAGTTGATGATGGATTTTATGAATCAAAATCAACCACCGATATTGCTGTTGATGGATTATTATCATCCTCTTCATCATCATCCTCTTCATCATCATCGTCATCATCATCATCATCGACAGCTGCAGCTGCAATCGAAGAATCATCATCATCATCTTCATCATCTGTATCAAGTGTTGGATGTGTTCCGATGATGATGATGATTGCGGCTACAACCAACAATGCCGAATCAAAAATCCGTCTTATATCCTGTGAACATATCATTGCTTGGAAACATCGTTTCAATGGACAACAATTATATAGAGATCTATATCGAATATTAATATTGGCCATTAATAAATCAAGTAAAAAATTTAAGGCAGCATTATGTCGTTGTTATAATGAATCATGTCCATCGATTCGATTACCAACACGAATACATGTTTGCCTTTATTGTCGGATGAGTGCCTGTTTTACATACAAACATATCCATCAACATTCAAAAGATAATAATCATAATTTAGGTAAGATTCAATCAAATTCTAAAATTATTTATCTTTGAAATGATTTTTTTTATATTCATTTTCCATTCAGCTATGGATATTCATTATGGTTATGTTTATTGTTTTGATTGTGATAATTATATATTTGATGTTGAATTTGAAACAATTGCATCGAAATTACGTAGAAATACACTTATTCGTAATGTTGATTTTCCATATCGTTGGGAACCAAATGCATATGATGAAGCATTATTCGATACATTAACAACAACAAAACGATTAAATGTTCATCGTGGTTATAATGGTCTTCGTGGTTTAATTAATTTAGGCAGTACTTGTTTTATGAATTGTATTGTACAAACATTAGTACATACTGAACCATTACGTGATTATTTTCTCGGTGATCGTCATATTTGTATTCGTGATTCAAATGAATGTTTAGTTTGTGAAATGTCACAATTGGTCCAAGAGGTAATTTCAATCAGTAACCGTTTTTTTTTTTGAAAAAGTCAATACAAATTCAATTCTTTTTTTTCTGATGTTTAGTTTTATTCGGGTGAAAAGAAACCACATATGCCGGTAAAATTATTGCATCTAGTATGGACACATGCTAAACATTTAGCTGGTTATGAACAACAGGATGCACATGAATTTTTCATTTCAACATTGAATATTTTGCATCGACATTCATCAGGTATGTTTTCCAAATCAAATTGTAAACAAAGAAAAAAAATCTAATGAGTTTTTTATCGAATTGATAGAATCGAATGATAGTTCATCAACAAATAGTAGCAGTAATAATTCATCACATAGTAACAGCAATAATAATAACAATAAAAAATGCAATTGTATAATTGATAAAATATTTACTGGCAGTTTACAATCTGATCTTGTATGCCAAAGTTGTGGGTAAGTGAATTTTAATTTTATTTTGGCAAAAAATGTTGATTTATTAAATTCCTTTTTTTTGTTTTGTTTTGTTTTTATTTAGTGGTGTTAGTTCGGTTGTTGATCCAATCTGGGATTTTAGCCTTGATCTAGTGAATAATGCTGGAAATATTGAAAATCGAATGTCGTCAACAACAATGACTAAATCATCATCATCATCATCAACAACAACATCGGCTGCTATCAAAACACCATCATTATCATTATATGATTGTTTAAAATTATTTACACGTACTGAACATTTAGGTAGTTCAGCTAAAATTAAATGTAACAAATGTGAAAGTTATCAAGAATCAACTAAACAATTATCATTGAAAACATTACCAATTGTTGTATCGTTTCATTTAAAACGTTTTGAACAAACAAATAGATTGAATAAAAAAATATCAACATATGTATCATTTCCAACAATGATCGATATGACACCATTTACAACATCGGAAATTGGTCATCAAGCTCGTCGACAAATATCCGATACAACAACAACAACAACAAGCTATGATGATTATGAAGGTGGTGGTGAAGATTGTAAACCACCACCATTGAAAAAAATGCGTAAAGATAATAGGTAAAATAGATTTTTTTTTACTCTCAAATTCTGTTAATTTATCATTTTGTTTTTTTCTTTAGTTATTCATTGTTTGCCGTTATAAATCATAGTGGTACATTGGAAACTGGTCATTATACAGTATATGTTCGATGTAATGGCCGTTGGTTTAAATGTGATGATCATTCAGTAACTAAAGCCACCGAAACTGATGTGCTCAATAGTGAAGGGTAAAATTAATCGATTGATTGCTTTGATTGATTTGATTAATTTTGAAACATTTTTTTTCTCTTCCATCATTTTTAGTTATCTACTTTTTTATCAAAAAAATCATTATGAATTTGAATAGAGCAGAAAGGTAAATGGGGACCACCATCAAACAAGTTGTGATCATTAATAATTCACTCATTCTGATTCTACCTTTATATAAATTGCATTATGCCCACCAGATTCTTTCGCTCACATCTTTCTTTCTTAAATGATACTTTGAATAATTCATTCATCACCTCTTTCTTTTTTTCTTCTTTTTGTTTTTGTTTCTGATCAAAAAAAAAATTTCTGTTTTTGTTGTGAAACAAATTATATTGTGATATTTTTTTCTTTCTTTCTCTTTCATTTTCAATAAAAAGAATTTAAAAAAAATTGAAATATGGATCATTTATTTTTTATTTTGGAATTTTTTGAAGTAATTTAGCTTTTATAATAGCCTAATAAATGTAGATAACGTCCAGCTGATGTTTCGGATATTTTAAATCTGGTTGCAATTTCGGATAATTTAATTCCAGGTTCTTTTTCAACTGTATGTTGTATTGAATGTAAAAGTTGTTCGGATGGTCCTGGACGACCGGTTCGTTTTTCGGCACTTGTTTTACCCATTGTTTTATAATCGGTTATAATTTTATGTACAGCTGTTTTGGATATTTCTAAATCTTTTGATATTTTACGTATGGTTGCACCTTCTTCATATTTTCCAACAATACGACCACGTTGAAAATCGGATAATTCATGTCCTCGTGGCATTTTCTTTCCAACCAAAACGGTCTGTATGGAATCAACCAAAAAAAAAAGATGAAAATCCGCCGATCACAACAAAAAATGATTTCAAAGTTTTCAAGCTCAAAAAATATTCAATATTTATTCGATTGGAGCATGCGCACTTCAATTTACATTTTCGAATAAATTTGATCAAACTGAAACAAAATCAAAATATTTTATTTGAAATTAATCAATGATTTTTTATTCAAATTAAGATCATTCATTATGGAAGTATCGTTTTCATTAATTAACAAAATTAATGTGAAATGTTTAGGTGTGTGTTCGACACAAATGGATGTGTAATTATCATTAAAAAAAGGGTGAGCCGAATTCAAAGATCGAATCATTGTGTGTTTAAGTTTTTTTGGCAATTATAAATGATCAAATTCTGGATAAATATAAAAAAAAATCTTTGTTGTTAATAACAGGTATATTCTCTCTCTTTTTCTTTCTGATTAATGAAAATGATATGAATTGAATATTAATCCCAATCTTTTTTCAGTTCAAATGACCATTCCCATTTAAGATGTTCATTATTATCATCATCGGTGAATAATGATTTAACCGTATATGTACCACGTGATAACATACCAGATGGCATTTCTTCAACCGGTGTTGTATATGATTGTAATTCATGTTTCGGTGCATATGATCCAACCATATTGATCGTTTTCAATACTTTCATACCATGACGATAAATTTTTTGCTGAAATTTAAGACCGGTAACAATTTCTCGTTGTACGAAAAAATCAATTTTGATTCGATATTCAATACCATCTTTAATGGTATAGACTTTTTTCTTCACAGATTCAACACCTTTTTTTGTTTCAAATAGAAATAGAAAGTTGCATTTGTCAGTTTAAAAAACAATCATACTACATCATACCTTGACTAAGATCGATCACCATATCAGGACGACCATCAACCAACAATGATAATGCTTTGACAATCACACGTTTTGGATTTGTTTCATCAACAATAACAACATCTTGTACAGCTTTGCCCAAAAGTGATTCCTTATATTTCATTAAACTTTCATCATCTTTATCCGCTGATACAATGTCCGACAATGATTTTTCAGCCGGTGGTTTATAATTCAAATTCATTTCATCACCACCATCATTATTATCAGCATTAGAATTATTTTTCGAATTATCTTCGGCCGACATTTTTTTTTACTTTGTAATTAATTTTTTTGTTTGTTAAAGATAATAAACAACAATTAAAAAATATGTTAATGAATTGATTTAGACTCGTATACTGAGCACAACATAAACAATACAATAGTGGTGGTTTATTGATGATTGACGATAATCACTATACCAGAAATATCGAAGCAACAAAAAAGAAACAAAAAATTTTCTTTGGTTTTTAGATTTTTTTTTTTGATTGCATTCGATATAACCATCCACAACGCACAGTAAATTGACAGACGCACGGTGATGCTCGGTGTTTATCATTAAAATGAAATGAAATGAACCGCCTATCAATTCGATATATCGATAGTTTTTTGTTTTACCACTACAACCAATAATTATAAGGACAAACCAAAAATAAAAATAAAAATAAATCCTTTTTTTTATAAAAATAAATAAAGCCGACGCCTATTATGAAACTGATATGTGTTTGTTGTTTATATTTTAAACAAATCGATACAATAATTCATTGATTAATTAATTCAAAAACAATCGATTTAATTGTATCATTGAATGAGTAAACATGAAAACGAAAAAAAAGATCCTGTTGAGCTCTTTTTCTGGTTTTTAGTGTTAATTCAAAAAATTTTCAATTTACAATTCTTGTCGTTTTTGTTGTTTGAATTGATGAATTCATTACATTTTAATTATTTTCATCATTTTTTTTTCTAGATGCAGAACAACCAGAAAAAAACGAAACATTTGACATATAAACAAACAACCGGATTTCTGAACGAATTTCTGTCCAAATCGATTCGATTGAAGGATAAGGAAATGAATTAATCGAACCAAAAAGCAAAAAAAAGAAGAAATTCAAGATTAAATCATCCAGAAAAGTTTAATCCAAATAATTGATATTTTGAATTTTGAAACTTGATGCATTAATTTTTGACCCGTACTATATGTACGGGCAATTTTGACACGCGATCTTTTATTTCGTGCATGCATTTTTTTTGTTTTATTCTTCACACATAATGATGTTCTTTTTTCCGCTGTTGTTTCGGTGTGTGTGTGATGTGATTTGATTGATGCCGAAATAAATTGTCTTTATTTGAAAAAATAATTATTTATTGAATTAAAGAAAGAAAAAAAGAATTTTTGATTTTAAAAATTTAAAAATAATCACCGTAAATTCATTTTTTTAAAACACTGTTTATTTTTTGGTTTGGTTTGAATGAGACATTATTAAATTATCAAACACAATCATGGCCGAAGGTGATCTCATGCAAACTGATGAAGGTAAAAAATTTCAATCCAATGGTATTGAATTGGATGAACAACAACAACAACAACAACAACAACAGCAACAAGAACAGCAACAATCGACACAAGAATCATCATTATTGGTTGAAGAAGAACCTGAACCAGATTTTGATGATCCAGAAGATTTTATCGATGATATTGATGATGAAGGTTTGTTTTTTTGATCGTTGTCATATGATTGAATATTAATTCGGCAATCATTTATATCATTAGAGTTAATTGGCGATATTCTTAAGAATCGACCTAAACAAGATTTTGGTCTAAAAAGTGTTATCATTGTTGATGGTATACCAAAAGTATCACCAGATCGTTTTGAAAAACTTCGTAATGTTTTGATGCGTATGTTTTCCAAATGTGGTACGATATTGAAAGATCATTTTCCATTAGATGAAAATGAAATGACAAAAGGGTATGTTAAATTGCCATCTTAAATGATTATGTTATCCGATTACATATGCTAACTTGATTTTATTTTTTTGATTAATTAAGTTATGTATTTTTTGAATTTGAAAATTCCGAACAAGCACAAGAAGCTGTCAAAACATATAATCATCATAAATTGGATAAAAATCACATGTTTTTCGTTAATATGATACAAGATATTGATAAATATCTAGAAATTTCCGATGATTTTGAAGAACCGGAAAAGAAACCATATGAAGATCGTGGTAATCTACGTGAATGGTTACTTGAACCAGATTGTTATGATCAATTTTCGGTTGTTTATGATGGTGGTGATACAACGGCTATCTATTTGAATTCAAATCCTGAACCAACATTAATACAGAAACGACCATATTGGACTGAACAATCGGTACATTGGTCACCATTGGGTACATATATGGCCACATTTCATAAACAAGGTATCGCTTTATGGGGTGGACCTAATTTCGAACGTTTATTTAAATTCGCTCATGAAGGCGTCATATTCATCGATTTTTCTCCATGCGAACGTTTCCTTGTCACTTTATCGCAGCCATTAATGTTGACGAATCAAGAGAATGCCATTATCATATGGGATATTCGTATGCAAACAATCAAACGAACATTCTATGCTGAAAATGTTCAAAGTATTGCCTGGCCAATATTCAAATGGTCACATGATGATAAATATTTTGGCCGAATTCATAATGATTCGCTTTGCATTTATGAAACAGAATCTTTTCTTTTATTGGATAAAAAATCATTGAAAATGCCAGGTATTAAGAATTTTGTATGGAGTCCATCGGAAAATACATTAGCCTATTGGGTTGCTGAAGAACAAAATGTACCGGCACGTGTATCATTGATTGAAATACCATCGAAAAATGAAGTTCGTTCAAAGAATATATTCAATGTTGCCGATTGTAAAATGCAATGGCAAAATAATGGCGATTATCTTTGTGTTAAAGTTGATCGTTATACTAAGGCAAAAAAAGAACGTAACGAAGCCAATAAATACACTGGACTTAATTATTCATTCGATCTGTATCATATACGTGAAAAACAAATCCCTATCGATTCGATCGAAATTAAAGAACCGATCGTTAATTTTAGCTGGGAACCACATGGTTCAAAATTGGCAATCGTTCATGGTGATTCACCTTCCTATACTATTTCATTCTATGGAATTGGACAAGGAACTACAGTCACATTGTTAAGTATGTTATCTATTTTAGTCGATTAACATTGACATTAATTATTTCTTATAAAAATTTTAGAAAAATTCGAGAAAAAATTATGCAATAGTTTGTTCTGGTCGCCAACCGGACAGTTCATTCTATTGGCATCACTTCGTAGTGCCAATTATACATTGGAATTTGTCGATACTTCGGATTTTTCTCGTACCAACACACAGGAACATTTCAAATTAAGTGACGTTGAATGGGATCCAACTGGTCGTTTTGTTGTCACCAGTGTTAGCTATTGGACCAATAAGGTTAGTTTTTTTCTTTCTTTGTTAATGTTTTTTTTCTCAACTCAATCAAAATTATCATTTCCATACATTAGAGCGATAATGCCTATTGGGTTTGGTCATTTCAAGGTCGTCTTATTCGTAAACAAATATTGGAACGTTTATGTCAATTTTCATGGCGTCCAAGACCACCAACATTGTTGAGCGAAGAAAAAATCAAAGAAATCCGAAAGAATCTAAAGAAATATGCTGATGAATTTGATGCCAAAGATCGTATGGCTCATTCAAAATTATCGAAAGAAATGATCGATAAACGACAACAACAATTACGTGAATATAAAGAAATATGTGAACGTAATCGACAGATTATCGAAAGCCATCAAGAAGAATTGATGCAATTACGTAATCTAACCGAAGAACAAACCCAGCAAGAATATTATGAAGAGGAATATGAATTCCTTGTCAAAGAGGAAACTGTCGAACTGGATTGATTAACATTACTAATATAATAATCTAATCCTTGATTCTTTCCTCAATAGTATCATCATCTACATATAAATGTAATCAATAAAAAGGATTAATTAACAGATTTTTTTATTATTAATAAATTGTTTCAAATAAAAAAAATTGCCTATTCAAATTTCTTTTTTACATCAAATATCTGATCGACGGAAACGATTTTCTCTCTAGGTTTGCCTTCTTTACGACCTTGTTCACGTTCGAATTGATCGATACGTGTCCAATCAACAAAATCGATAATATTGGCTTGACGTTTCTCTAATATTGGCCTAATTTGATCATAACCACGTTTGATCGTTTCGGTATCAAGACGACCATCTTGAATATCGTTTAAAATATTTTTACCAACTTCAAAACTGGCTGACATCGTGTTCACTATAACACCTGTTGCACCGAATGCAGCCCAACCCGAACAATAAAGATCAGGATTATCGATGACACGTCCTTGTTGGTTAAGAATGATACCACGACGATTATCAAATGGTAACGATGGATCTAATGGCACTGATCGATATCCGATACTACGGATTAATATTCCACATGGTTCCTCAATTAGTTTATTATCACAAGTGTCTATAATTTTTGCATCTTCACGTATATAATCATCCAATAGATTTTGTTTTAATCGTACACTTGCAACCATTGGTGATTCTGGACAGATTTCAATGGGTGTTAGGAAAAATTTAAACAAACATTCTTTCGAACAATCATCTCTCATTTTATTTGATCCATCAATTATCTGGCGATATAACTGAGCCAATCGCCGACGTGAACGTGGCAGTGAATCCTATTCGAACGTAAATAAAAAATCAAGAGAAATAAATAAAAAATAAATAAATAAATAAATCACTCACGATGAGTTTATCATTAAAATCTAAGCGTTCACGAATCGATTGTGACCAATCAAATCGAACATGACAATCAGGCATTTTGGTAAGTTCACGAAATTCTTTGATCTTAAATGCCGCTTGCAATGGACCACGACGACCAATTATAACCACGCGACGTATATTAGAATTGGATAATTTTCGAAACGCATGACTTGTAATATCCGTTTTCTAGTCAAACAAGAAAATCAGAATCATCATTTGGATAAAAAAGAACTTTGTGCTTACCTTAAGAATATCCGGCGGTGTCAATAGGATACGTGCACAATCCAAAGCAACATTACCTTGTCCGATTATAATTGCAGTATTACACGAAGTATTTAATGATAATTCTAGATCTTTATCCTGTGGTATACCATTATACCAGCCAACAAATCGTCGTGCTGATATAACATTACCCAATGATTCACCCGGTATGTTTAACATTGCATCCTGTGATGAACCATAACATAATACGACAGCATGATAAGCATCACGAAGTTCCTGAAATGTAATATCGGTACCGATATTAATATTTCCAATGAAACGTGTACGATCATTTGTGGCCACTTTGGTGAATGAATTGATAACATTCTAACAATATGAATGAACAAATTTAGATCAAAATCATTCGAATACGATTCAGATACCTACTTTTACTTCTTGATGATCTGGCGCTACACCAAAACGAACCAAACCAAATGGAACGGGAAATTTTTCATAGATATCAACATTCAAATTCGGATACTAATGGTGATTATTGATGGAATTTGAATCAACAAAATTCGATATAGACATACCTTTAATAATTGTTGACTGGTATAAAAACCGGCCGGACCACTACCAATAATGGCAATCTTATATTTACAATTATTAGACTTTGTGTCATTGGTCGCTGATGATGATAGCGATCGTTGGCAGTGATTATTCAGATTATAAAAACGATATCGATTGCACTTTAATAATAATGATGATTCAACAATAGACAGAAAACAATTGATGTCTACATTTCTACATTTCGTTAGCAATCTTTTTATTATTAACATTATTTATAACAGAATCTAATCAGAATTCAATCTTAACAATACATTTCCTTTTTTTCTCTTCGGTCCTTATCAATAGACAATAGATTTATCATCCGAAAATAGATTTCTTTTTTTTTCTTAAGATTGAATTCAATTTATTAATGAGTACAAATGTTTCTCACGTGATCTAATTGTTTTCAGTAATGAACGAATCTATCGAGAATTAGCCGATCACATGATAAATTTATGAATTCTTTCATTTTTTTAAAAAATATAAAATTTAATTGATCTTAGAATTTAATTCAGTTTGTTTATTTGTGATAATTATCAATGATTATACAATGTTTTCATCGAAAATTATTCGATCGTCCATCATGGAAATCTTGGCTAATTTTGATGATTGACCGATATAAACATAACAAACAACAACCAACAAGTTGGTCGAAATATTTCGAAACAATCGAATCGAATGTTTTCACCAATCGAATTAGTCGACAAAGACCAAGCGATTTGAAATTTATTCAATATGAAAATATATTCGTTTATCATGTGATAAAATTATCTAATCCTTACATTAATCATAATGATCATTGTAAAATTTCAACATTTAAATGTGATTTCAATCGTTTTTTTACCTCAAACAATGATAATAATGTCGATGATATTAATGCAAAAATTTCTGCTATGAACAATGAACAAATAATTGATTTGATGAAATCAATGTACCATAATTTACCGGTGTTCCTCAAAGAAGATGAATGGAACAAAGCATTTCTCGAATCATCATTCAGTCGTATTTGGCAACATTTAGATTTATTATTGATTAATCGAATCGAAAAAGATTGGTCGACAAACAAATCAAAATATATGATAATATCGAGACTTTGGTTTGAACTTGGTCTTGCACAAAATGTCCGTTTTAATAAATGTTTAATGGAAAAATTATTTGATGAACAGCAACTGGAAAAATCGACAATTTTACATTTGATGTTTTTGGCAAATTTAGCAAGAAATTCAATCATGACCGTACAGCGACAAACGATGATTGAGCAGATTGATTCATTTTTAAATCAAAACAACAATCAACAATTGACAGTAGATGAACTATCATTGATTGGTGTAGGTTTTTTCAAAACACAAACACGAATGCCTTTGGAATTACTTCGTAACTATATTGAATCATGTACTGAACAATTATTACAACGATATCCAATACGATCAACAATATCTATTGTAGCTATATTGAAGATTATACGTTTTTCTCTTGAAACAACTGAATTCAATCGGCAAAAATTACGAATACATTTGAATCGTTTTGTAGAGGCATTGGGCAATCATCCATCGAATTTTTTCGATTCAGAAATCTGTCTAACCCATCTAATACTGATGCTTAATTCGATATTATTGATTGATAAACAATTATATAGGCAAATATTTCAGAAAATGATGGCTAATCTTTCGATATTTCGTATCAAAGATATTGAACGTATATTATTTTGTTTGGCAAATGTACGATTTCAATGTCCGATCGGACAGTTACGTCGTTTAGAACAATATCTATGTAATAATGATGAAAGTCGTTTATATCCAAGTTGTACCTACAATATTATCTTGTCATTGTTTATGATCGATTATGAACCAAAGCAATTGCTTAAAATTTGTTCCAATCATCGACAAATACAAGATTCACTTGGATCAACTAAAATGTCTCTCGCTACACAATTTCTAACATTGGATAGCATTATGCGATTACGTAATCGAAAATCATTATTGAATGAAAAACAAATCGAACAATTTCAATTATCATTAGCCTATTTATTTGATAATCTTCATACACAAAAAGGTCGTTTTATTCGATTTATTTATGAATCACTACGTCAACAATGTGTTGATCAAAATATACAGCTAATGTATATTTTACCATTCATCTCATATCCATTTCCAGTCATTTTGAACAAATCAAATTTTATTTACAAATCAAATACTGATCGAACATTATGTCCATTTGTTGATAGTATACCGTATCGAGTTGATTATTTTAAACCAAACTTTTTCCATAATAGTTTTGCCATCTTACCATTAATGGAAAAAGATTATACGGTTAGATCATCATTACGTGGAACAATACATTTAAATAAATCATTACTCGAAAATCTTGGATTTCGTATTATACCTATTGAACATGGACAATTTCGCCATTATTTCCTAAAAGATTCAATTGAAACAAACACACATTCAGATGCAACAAAACAATTATTATTCACAGTACAAAAATATCATCGATCAATAAATTTTAATAAACAAACATAATAATCAAAATTAACCAGTTAAAATTTCAATCAAATGTTTCAAACGTTCAGCAATATCAGAGATATTTCGTTTTTGATTGAAAACATTTTCATTGGCTAATCTATTGGACAAACGATCAATAATATTTTCAGTTAATTTGGTTATATTAAAATCGACAATCATTGATCGAAATGTTTGTAATAATAGACGATCTTCTTCCAATGTCCATTTTTCGTTTTTCATATTGGATTCTAATTCATTTTGATTAATTTTTTGTAATGGAGATGATTTTCGTTGAACATATTCAACTAATTGTAAACGTTTATTGGTGGATATTTGTGGCAGATAAATTCGACCAGAAATGAAACGAATTGAACATAAAGTACAATGATTATTTAGATGAGATGCAGTTGTTGAATCGTTTTGTTGATGACATTCGATACATGGACATTCATTTGTACCATATTTTAAATCATTCGAATCGATTGGAATCGTACAATTTTCAACATCATCATTATCATTATTGTCAACAACAACATTGTTGTTTTCCATTTCGATATCGGAAGGAATAATAAATTCATCAAAATCTTCATCATCATTGTAAAGATGATTGGATGGTGGATCTTCAAGAAATAATGAACAAAATTCTTTCATCAAAAGTGGATGATTATTTAATATTTTTGAAACTGATGTTTTGATTTTTGTTCGTTGTTCATTGGTCATTGTTGATAGATGTTTCTGTTGTAAAAGTGATTGATTTAGCAAACGAATTATTTTCTGTATACAATTTTGCTGTTGATTTGTATGACCATCATAGACAAATGATAGATATAGTTCAAGTTTACCGAAAAATTGTAATATTCGTTGCCAATGTAGATATTCAAATGTTGATCGAAAATCATTATTGTGATTATTATCGAATCGATCAATAGAGAACATTACAAGAAGCACTAACAATTCGATCAATTCATCAAAACCATCCAGAATCTGTTGTCGAATAATGATATTTTCCGAATGTTGTTCAATATATTTTTGACGAATTTCCAGTAGAAATTTACGAAGTTGATGATAAATTTGTCTATTCAAATCTGGCTGATCATTTAGATTGGAAATCAATTCTAAAAATTGAATATAATCTTCATCTTGAACCAATAATTTACGGCTACGTTTAAGATAATAGCTAATCAAACGATCATTGATTGAATCAATAATGTTCGATGATGAATTCTCAACAATATATCGAGATGATTCACGTTGCATTGCTAATAATTCCGATTTTCGTCGATTGATACGTTCAACATCAACTTGATCTTGTTGCGGTTTTCCATGTTGACTATTCGCAACAGTTGTCCAACTTGCTTCCATCAATGCCATTAAATCTTCTTCATCATCCATGTTCATTAGCATTTCTGTTTCATCACCATCATCATCATCATCGTCATCATCATCACCACCATCACCATCGTCATCATTATCAACATCATCATCTTCGATTTCTTCTTCTTCTTCTCCTTCTTCCACTTGGACAACATTTTCACATTGTTCTTGTTCATCATCATCATCATTATTATCAATCTCAATTTTTTCGAATACTTGATTATCATCATCATCACCATTTTCATTGATTTTGTTCACAGATATGGTTGGTGATTGTACAGGTTGATTCGAATCGATATCGATTGAATTTTCATCAATATCCAATTCTTGATTTGGTGAACAGATTTTGGAAATTTCCTGTTCATCCTTTTCTAATATTTTGGATTGATAAGATTGTTGTTTTTTAGTTTTTCTACGAATTTGTCGTCGCCGTTGTGGTAGATTTGGAACAGTACAAAATGGAAAACTTTGATTAGCCAAAATGTTTTGCATGATCGTACCATCGGCTAATATGATTCGTTGTCCATTTAATTCATACAACGGTAAATTACCATTCGAATCCGGTTTGGGCATTATAGTTTGATATTTATTTGCCAATGATGATGGACTAGATGAATGTTCATTACATTTTGTTTGCTGTGATTGTTCGGTACGATTATTTTTTCTTGAATCATCAATATAAAGCATTAGATTGGTTGGATCATCTTTGGCCACAAGTTTATGATACCAATTAGGCAATGGATATAATCGATAAATATCGGATAGATTTTCTTTGGTAAAATATCTATTAAATGGTGGAAGTTTATTTTCACGAAAATAATAGACAATCGGATTCGTAAACCATTTATCATATTTTTGTGGATCATTATCAATTTTTCTTTTATGTTTTAAATATTTAACATGATGACGTATAGATTGTTCAGAATGATTAGGTAAAAAATGATTGTGAATATATTTGTAAAAAGAATTTGCTCGAGTCGATTTCGAACGTTCACGATAAAATTTCTGCAAACCGAATGCAATCATATGATCATCAGCTTCGGTAAATAATGTTTGAGTGACTTTGTGATGTGATAAAAAACGACGAGATGGTAATGCCCATTCGAATGGAAATATATTACGATTTTTGAGTAGAAATGATTTTAGCTTCGATGTTAAAACTGTTTCGAGATTGGATTTATTTTCACTTTCAACAATATGATCATTATCATGTTCGACTAATTGAATGGATGGTTGAAGATTAGGAATCAAACGTAAAATATTTGTATCATTTTTTTGAGATAATTCATTCAATTCATCAAGCATTTCTCGATAACCGTTGTGAATTTTATTATCATCATCATCATAACGAATAGATAGAATCCAATCTTGTGTAAGTAATTGTATGTGAAAATTTAGCTGATAATAAAGAATATTTAATTGATCATTCGAAAATGAATGTTGATCTGAATTGGAATTTATTTCATCTTTCAATGTTATTTGATCAGATTCTTTTTCAACACCATTATTATCGATAACGGAAGTATTCTTGAATGTTTCATCGAAAATATCCAAAAATTCTTTAAAATCATCCAAATTACCGATATCCTGATATACATTATAATCCTTATCATTAGGATCATCATCAGCAAATAATCGATCTAGATCACTTTGTTGAAATGAATTAATAAATTGTTGATAAATATCATCATTTGGATCTAATTCCATTATTTCGAAAAATGTAAACAAACAAACAAAAAAATCATACGCATGCGTAACGTTTTACCATATATTTTTCTTGAGTCATAATTATATGGCCATATGTCATGACTCAAGATTCCTTGAATTTAAATTTGGATGGCTATCTAAAAATGAGAATCGTATTAATTTATTTGTATTAGCTGTGATATATCCAGCTTAAAAGTAAAAAAATGAGGAGAAATTCTTCAGTAGAAACTTCAATCAATATTGATTCGAAGAGATCAAAACCACGTACGACTATTGATAATTTACCATCATTGGCTATTGAATATATTCTAAGTCAATTAACTTATTATCAATTATTACAGCTAAGACTTCTTTCTCGTCATTGGTATTCATTGATTCAGGGTAAATTCTTCATGATTTTTAATCAAAAAAAAAAATTTGGATTAATTGAGTTTGTTGTTGTTTAATAGAATATCTATCGCGAGCGGATCGTAATTTTTTCATCAATCTAACCAATTATCGTGTGCAATGGGTTGCCGTCAAAGAACAGGTCGAATATTGTAATAACTCTCAATTATCACATCAGCAGCAGCAATCGGCAGCTGTTATAATTCCTCCTGAATCGAATCTAAATTCATCGAAAAAATTACGAACAATTCCACGAATGTCACCAAGACTTCATCATCTGGCCTGTTATGTGGATGATTATATGTATATTTATGGTGGATGCGTATCATTGACCACTACTTATAATGATCTTTGGCGTTTTGATACGAAAACCAAACGTTGGTCCCGAATTATTGCCGAAGGAACTTTGCCACTGCCGCGTTTGTTCGGTTCATTATCACTATACAATTGCTATGTTGATAATAATGACAGTGGTGACCGAATTCGGAAACAATATCTGGTACTATTCGGTGGAATAGTTTTCAACGATAAACTACAACCACCAACATTTGATGATCGTGATCGTTTGCTCAAAACAATACATTTATTCGATATTGAATTGAATCGATGGACATTAATCCAAGTAAAAGGTTCGATCGAATTAAAATCCTGTCATCATACGGCAACTATAGTTGATGATGAACTAATTATTGCCTGTAATGGCCATGGCTATGTTAATGAACGTCCAATCGATGGTAGTGATGCAGCAGCTTCATTATTTGTATTTGATTTACGACAACATCGTTGGCGTTGTCAACGTACCATAGGACCTATGCCTACTGGATTATTATCAAATTCTACACGCGTCATTCCACCGATGGCAACACCGGCAATGATATTACAATCTGCTAAAGAATTATTTTGTAGCCGTACGCGTGCCATACCTAATTCCTTTATTTTGGATAATCATAATATCTTATTTATAAGTCACGTTTCCAATTATTCACAACAAGCATCACCATATGCATCTTTGCTAAAACGAACAGGCCGTTGTCAAAATTGGCCAAATTGTGTGGAATGTCAACATTTTTCCAATGCTCATGATGACGATGATGGTGGCGATTATAATCATCACAATCATAATCAAACACCATGGCAATGGCAATCGATTGATTTATCGAATGTTGAACCTGATCTCAAATGTGGCAATATCTGTATGATAAATGATCGTTTATTAGCCTATTTATCAGTGAAGAATCGATATTTTTATGAATCAAAAACTCCGAAACATTCAATCATTCAGCAACAACCATCCATCATAATATCGCAATCATCATCGAATGTACATTCTATGGATAAACGTACGATTCTACATGAACGTCGTATTGAAAAATTGGATTATTATAAACGTTATTATGAAGATCGAATATATCGTAATGCAGCCAACCGTTCCAATAATAATAATAATAATAATAATGGTGATAATCAACGACAATATGCCCCATTAACAATGGATCGCCATTATAATGTTACACAAAAGATTACCTTACAATTGCATTTATTAGACATAACTGAAGTGTTAAGCCATCGACGAATACGAAAACTTCGTGCAACACGATCAATGGATTATACAGTTGCACCGAATGCATTCAATTATTATTCATTGGTAGCAACACCCGAATCACTAATACTATTCGGTGGTTATTTTGTTGATGAATTATATAAAGATATACAAAACAGGCTATTTTTACTTGTATCAAAACCAGAAACCAGTATCAATTAATTTAAAGAAACATTTGTTAATTTTATTAAATCAAAATAGCCATTACAATTATAATATATCACTTGTTGATAGAGAGAGTGAGAAAAAGAGAAAGAGAAATAAAGAAAATTATATATAGATCAAAGCGAAATTTTAAATCAATCTTTTTTATCTTTATTCGTTTTTTGTTGTTTTTGATTTTGTTGTTGATTCCGGGCGAACAATATGAAAATATTTTCCAATGTAGTATCGGATATTATATAATCTTCTAATTGTAGTTCTTTATCAATTTGGCCCATTATTTCGAACAATTTTGACCATTTGATAGATTTATCTTCAACTTGATATGCCATTAAAGATTGATGATGATCCCTTAATCGTGCCGATGGTATAGCTTCAGTGATTCGTCGTTGACATTCATTACTATAATCCTTATTTATTTCATTTTCTCGTTTCAGACGTATTTGTATCGTATATCCTTGTCCATATTTTGCACGTAAATGTTGAGTAGATCCAAGACAACGAAAACGTCCAGAAACCATGATGGCTATACGTGAACAAAGAGCTTCACATTCTTCCATTGAATGTGATGTCAATATGATGACACTGTTGAAAAGCTGTCGAACAAGGACAAGTGTACGCCAGATTTTTCTTCTAGCACTTGGATCAACACCGGCTGTTGGTTCATCCAAAAACAACATTTTCGGATTACCAATCAAAGATACGGCTATAGATAATTTACGTTTATTTCCGCCACTATATGTTTGGGTTCGTTTTTTTGCATGTTCCTGTAGATCGACCATACGAATTAGATCTTTAACTTCGTTTGAAAGTCGTCTCCATGGAATACCACGTAATGCTCCCATTAATTTAAGTGTTTCCACTCCGGTCAAATTATCCAATAAGGCATCAAATTGTGGACAATAGCCAATGTCACGTCGAAATTCACTTAAATTATTGATTAAATCGATTCGTCCGTCCATAATGGCATTACCATCGCTTGGAAAAATATCACCAGTAAGCATTGAGAATGTTGTAGTTTTACCGGCACCATTAACACCCAACAATCCAAAACATTCATCATGACGAACACCGAAACTAAGATGATCAACAGCAGTAAACGAACCAAAATGTTTAGTTAATCCATGAACAAGCAATAAGTCAACATTATCACGTTGACTTCGTTCCGAGAGAATTGATTCAACACGTCGTTTTTCTTTAGAAACATCCGAATCTTCAAGAGCAATTGAATCATTAGATTCAGAAAGATTTCGTCCCAATATTTGATTGTACAAATGTTCAATCGAATTTATCAAATATTTACGTGAATATTGTTGAAAATTTTCATATAAAATAACTAATACCATAAAAACTAGACCAGATCCAAATAGCGTAAGGATTTCAGGACCAGAACCAAATCTTCCAAATGAATAACTACCCGAATCATAACAAGAATCATCTTCTTGACAAATATCTGGACAACAGCCTTTGAGCATTTGATTCATTCCAAACTGATCATTATTGTCTGTTAAATTCTTACATAGTTCTTCAAGATTTTTACCTACAGTCGAACACAATTTATAGAATAAATTTGATTTGTACAATTTTTGATAACCAAATAACATTGAAAATATTGGTATGCATCGAATGTATGGCAATACTGCTTGTGTCGCATTTAAAAATCCGGAACGAATACCAAAATTATTGATTAAAAAATCGCAAACACCCATGAATAGATTTCCAATTAAGCCCATAATTAAAAATACGATAACAGCAAATGTAAATCCCGATGAATTCACATCAAAAATATAGGTTAAAAAATATGCCAATGGTATTGTGCCCATACCGAATACAAACAATATTACAAACAACACTTCGGCTAAATTAGAAAAAATTGAAAAGCAACAAAATTACTCTTAAATATCAAAACAACCAAATTAAATACATACCGGATGATTTGGAATCAGGATCGAAAAATACATTATCAGCATCAAATAAATAGATGAATAGATAAAGAATCGATATAGTTAGCAAATGATAGGCCAAATCGAATATAAAATGACTGATCCAGAATATTGATGGTGATACACCAGCCATCATTTGTAATAATTTGGATTTTGTTGTTCGTTCTTTAATCGGATAAAGAACATATGATGCGGCCAAAAATGGAAATGCAATTGGTAACAATAGTAAACAACATACCAACCAAGACAATATCAATGATGCCATTGATTTTGTCAATGATTCAGGATTTTCATTTATTTTTTCTTCAATCAATACCGGTTTAAAAGTCATATCGATACCGACTTTTGATTTTAAATGTTGTGGACTAGCCATATCGAGTAAGGTATCGAAAAAGATTTTTACGGATAACCAAGCCGAATAGGTTTGTTCTTCATTATACCATATCTTATAAGAACTTTTTGTTTGATTATCTTGTAATCCAAAAAGAACTTTTTGTATATAATGTCCAATAGCTCCATCATTATGATTTAGAATATAATCTTCAAAAGATATTCGTGCATCAAAATTACCGGTAAATATAACTTGACCATGATCACGATCAGAAACGATACGTTTATATGATTCATATAGTTCAGATTCACCTTGAAAATATGATTCCATATTTGGTCCATAAAGATGTTCAGTATTTATTGGTATAGGATCAAAATTTTGATTTTTACGTAAATTAGAAAATAATGAAGCTATACGCATGGCCAATATAAATATCAATAATGGTATTACCAATTGTAACAACACCATTTGCCAATAACGTCGAGCATAATGAAATCGTTTTAAAACTAATGCTATAAATTGATTTTTGACCAAGGCACAACCAGTGATCATTTCGGATTTTGGAGTTAAACGTGGAGTCCAATTTTGATTATTGTGATTATCATCATTAAGACTATGATCACGATTGTTAGTTTTTGAGAATTGTGATTCAAGAATCGAATCATCATTTTCAACGGCAATGAATACATCTTCCAAAGTTGAATACGACAAACCGAATGAATTGATGCCATAATTTTCAAGATTCTGTTCCAAATCTCGAAAAAATGGTGGGAACTGTTTCTTAAATCGTTTCTTTTGTTCATCAATATCTTCATCGCTTTTGTTCAATTCTTTTTTCCGATTATTTTCAACATTTTTTTCATTCAATGTATAGATTACTTCGGTTTCGATTTCAGATTTAAATTTTGCTGTAGGTATATATTTAGTAATAATGTTAAGAAAACGACTTGAATTAAAATTATTAGATTGTTTTTCCACACGAAGTTGATAACCGGTACCGAAAGCATTTTTCAAAAAGAATGGTGTACCACAACAGCTAAGTCGACCTTGATTCATGATGGCAATACGATCACCTAATACCTAAAGATTTTATTAAATGAATAAAAAAAAATTTTAAATTTTACAATTCAAATTTTTCAAGAAAAACTTACATCCGCTTCTTCCATATAATGAGTGGTCAACAGAATTGTTTTTTCACGACGTAATGAAATTAACAGATCCCATATGACACGACGTGCTTCAGGATCTAGGCCTGATGTTGGCTCATCCAATATCAATATCTCTGTTCGTCCAATCATTGCCATACCAAGTTGTAGTTTTCGTTTCATACCACCAGATAATCTTGATGCTCGAGTGGCAGATTTTTTTGTTAATTGTAATAAATTCAATACACGTTCAACTTCTCGATCAATATTAGAGAGTTTGGTATCTTTTAATACGGCAAATAATTTCAGATGTTCAAACACTGTCAATTCAGGAAATATAATGTTTTCCTGTGTACATAGGCCAATACTTTGTCTTGCCATACGTGTCTGAGTAAATATATCATAACCATTGACAAAAATATTACCAGATGATGAAGGATAAATTCCAGTAATCATATTCATTGTGGTTGATTTACCCGCACCATTATGACCAAGTAATACGGTTAGTTGTTTACTATAAATCTTCAACCATAGTCTATCAACTGCAACTTTATTGCCGGGAAATTTTTTTGTTATATTTTGTATTTCAATAGCTGATTGTAGTCTAATAGGATCTGGTTCAAATGCTTGTGAATTCAATTCAGGTGGTTCTAATTGAAAAGATGCAATATCTTTTTTCGGATGCCAATATGATGGATCAAATATAAACCATGGACGTTTAGGTACACCATATTGAAATGGCCATACACTATCCACATACCAGATTAAAAAGGCATACAATGCAAAAGAAATGATGACAGAAATTATGACTAGCAATATTGTTAGATCACCATATGCAATTGTTGAATGATTAATTGTAGAAAATGTTAATGATTGATCAAAACTTTCGAATGTTCCCAATATTGATATGAACCACATAATCGATCCCATCGGTAACATTGATAGAAAAAATCGTGTAGCAAAACATTTATTACCAATAGTTTCATTATTGATAGATGGTACCCAACCACGAAAAATAATTACACTTATCATTAACCATAGAATTGTTGTAGCAATAACAGCTATAACGGGTCTAAATAGAAACGAGTAAAAAAATAAATTAAATTATTAACACCTTTTTTAATATTGAAAAAAATAATTAATTGATTACTTACTTATTGAATACGGTTGTGATTAACATCGAAAACATTATCATTTGCATTCCAAACAAAACAAACGTAATGAAAAATATAATCACTGATGAATGAACAATTATTGGATTTTTGAACATAGTAAATGCAATAGTAAAACCAAGTGCATGAATCAATATAACAAAAAAATAATTAATAAAATGTGCAGCCCAGAATACTATATCAGCGGTACCGATCATACGTAATAATTCTTTTGATTTGCTTGATTTTTCATCCGTTATACGTTTAACAATTAATGGTACAAATAATGTATAAGAGATTAATGTAAATAAACCAAGTAGATCAAATATGGAAAGAAATTCAATTTTTGGATCACGATATGCTGGATATGGCATACGATTCAATGTTATTTGTTTCAAATCAATAGATGAATTTGAATATTGACGAAGAAATTCTCTATTTAAACGACTTGTTATTTCTACAATCGGTATATTCCATATGTTTTGAAGTGAGTTCGGTGCTTGACTTGATTTTTGTGGATAAGCATTCAAACTGCTATGTGCTGCTGTTCGTGCCGGTATTATTACATCATAAACAAGATGACCATTCTCTAAATCAATTTTATGAATATGTAGACCCAATATTAACGGATAAAAATCCATAAATTCAACATTTTTCAAATCATATTTCATTTGTTCCACCATAATTTCAACATTTTGAGTTGCGTTGACAAATGTCTTCATAACTTCATCTTTATCATTTTTTATTTCTATCGGAAGATCTGACAAAGATCTTTTTAATGTAGCTAATATACGTCCAGTTTCTTGTGTATCCGGTGTATAATAAATTTGTTTTAAAATAGGAATTGCAGCAGAAAAATCCACCAATAATGTTGGATTTCGAAAATGCTGTGCCGGTTTCATAGTATTATCATCTTTAATTATTTCACGAATTTTTTCCTCTTCATTGTCTTGGTGATTAGCTTCATTTTCATTCAATTTTGCATGCGGACTTAAAGTTGTTTTTGAATCTTCGGGTGCTTGCGTTACCATCGATGAATTGGAATAAATAAATGCAAACAATAATATCAATAATATTGGTCCAATCAATTCAAAAAATGTCGATATATAATGTACACGACGTATGATGAATGATTTCCATAAAAGTATGAATAATTGTTTCATATAAATACGCATTTCTGAACTTTTGGAATTATTATTTCGTCGTCGATTTAATAGATGAGTTTCAGGATCATCATACATTGGTGGTGAATTTGATGATGATGATGATGATGCCGATCCGGATGCTGCTGTCGATCCGGATGCTGCTTTCGATCCGGATGGGGCTTTCGATGTTGAATTCATTGTTGTTGTTGTTGTTGTTGTTACTGTTGGTGTTGTTGTTGTTGGTGATATAGTTATTGTTGTTAAAGTCGGTGACATAATTTGTCAATTTTCCAAATGAATTATTATTATTATTATTTTTTTGCTAAAAAAGAATTATTCAAAAAAAAAACAAAAATAAAAATTAAAAATTAATTAACGTAAATCAAAAATGATGTTTGATGGTTACGGTCGATTGGTTATTGATGATGAACACATTAAATTATATACTCAAAAAAAATATTGAAAAAAAATTCATCGACAAACTCTAACATCTACGTAGATGATGATAATGATTTTAAAAAAAAATGCTAATCCTATAAAATATGTGGTCGATAATTTCAATTGAGTAGTCATGGATATTCTCTTACTAAAAATAATAATCTGACATTTTGCCAAACAACAATGGCATTTCAAAAAAAAAAAAAAAATCAATTTCAAACTTTTTTCAGACCTAAAACAAAAACTGATCTTACCTGCAATATCAAATATCCAGTATATTTGGTATATTTGATTTTACAACTTTTTAGCCCTTTTTTTTCAAATGAAACAGATTGGACTTGGTGTTTTGACAATAAAAAAAAGCAAATTATTATATAAAAAAAAAAATGAAACACTAAAAAATCAAAATGAAAACATTTATTAATGGACTGATTAATAAAACCTTTTATTTTCTAGAATAAATAAATGAAATTATTGATTAAACAAATAATAAAAAAATAAAAGGAAATTTAATTCCGGATTGAATCTAACAAAACAGCATCACATTACTTTGTTTTTTGTTGTTGTTGTTCAATGTTTGTTGCCTATAACAACGGCCGTATTTATTTTTTTATAAACCATTCATAATTGACAAATTTTTCAAATGAATCATCATTGTTTGGATGCATTTTTTAAAAAAAAAATTCGTTTGATGATGACAAAACAATGTAAAAAATAAGCAATTATTATTCATTAAGCGAACTTAATTAGATTGAGAAAAAACTCTCCCTTATTTTTTTCATTTACTTTCACTTGTCAATATTAAAAAATGGATAAAATTGCTACGCCTGTCAGTTTTTCTTCCCCAAAATCATGAACTAGTGTTTATGAACGGTTTAAAAAAAAAAATTTCATTACCATGTTCGAAATTGTCATGCGCAAATTTTATAGCCGTTGTCAATTGATGATGATGGTGAGCAGCCATTCCTCAAAAAAAAGCATTCGATTTTAATGAGCCCGGTCTTTGTGTGTATGTGTTGTGTATGTAATTTTTATGGCACGGCATTTCTTGACTCTTCAACTAAAATTTTTCGCGCTTGCTAGTCTCGAATCTATTTTTTTTTGTTTGTCACATTGTTTTAATCTTATCAATTTTTTTAAAGAAATTTGTTTTTTTTGACCATTAATTTTTTTTTTGTTTGTTTGTTGATCAAAATTAATCATGTCTGATTCAGTTGATAATAATGCAAATGTAACGGCTGATGATAATGTAACTGATGTTGCTGCTACTGATGTTTCGGCTGATGTTGTTGAAACAAAAGTTGAAGTTGAAACTTCATCATCAACAACAACAACAGCGGCCGAACAAGAAACCGCATCAGACGTATCGAAAAATTTAGAAATTAAATCATCAACAGAAACTGATACGAAAACTGAAATTGAAGAAGATAAATCAACAACAGTGGCAAAAGGTGTTGAAGAAAAAATGGATGTTGATGTAAGTTTTTGATATATTTTTTTCCAATTATTGTTTGCTAATCAAAAAAAAATTTAATTAAACAGGAATCAAAGGATGCTATAACTGATGAAACAGCAGCAAAAGAATCATCAGTAACTATCAAACAGGAGGAGGAATCTAATGCGAATAACACGCAACAACAGCAGGAATCATCTTCAGAAATGAAAGCCATTGATACTAAAACAATTGGTGGTGATTCACAATCGAATGCCAAATCGAATGAAGAAAAATCATCAACAGTTACTAATAATAATTCCACGATCGAATCGGCTTCAAATAATGAACAAAACAATAAGATCACCAATAATAATAAATCCGGTACCGGTGATGTTACAACAACAGCAGCAGCAGCAGCTAATAAAGAAAATCAACAACAACAACCAGCACCACCATCATCAGCTAAAAAGAATAAATGCGATCTAGGTAAACTTCCTATACGACAATATATGGATGCAACTGTTGTACCATCATTATTGAGCGGTCTATCATTACTGGCTAAAGAACGTCCAGCAAAACCATTGGAATTTTTGGCAAAATTTTTATTACAAAAATCTAAAGAACAGGAACAAGAATAATATAAATGATAAAATTCACCGAATTTTCACCAAGCATTCATATTTTTATCCATTCTTTTCACTTACATACATTTGGCCATAAACTACCTAAATAATGAATATACACATACACACACAGTATCATCAATAATATCATTATATTTTTTTTCAATTTCTTTTTTTTTCTTTCCGTTTTTTTTTTCTAATTTTAAAATTTTTTTTCTTCTTCTTTTCACTACATTCTGCTATGTTGATGGATATGAATTTTTTTTAAACAAAAACAAAACAAAACACTATTTATCCTTGAAATTCTTTTTATTAATAAGATTTCCATATGAATGCAGATGAATTTTGATAGAGAAAAAAAATTGTTTTTCGCAATTTTTTAAAAAAAAGTATGAAGAATTAATAAAATTTTGAATTTTTACCATGGCAACCTGTAAATATTGTTAGAATTTACCTGGCTGATGTATGTATGCAGGTATGTGTGTGTGGTATGTTGATGATGATCATTAAGTAGTGGTTCATTTGGATGTTCATTTGATTGTTGAGCAGGTTGGTTTTTTTTGTTCATATTCAGTGTATATACGATTCGGTTCGTGTCAAGGAAATGAAATGAATGTTTGAATTGTTTTGATTGCAAAAAAAACGAAAAGAATAACATCCTTGACATTCCATTCAATTCGGTTGCAATTTTACCGTTTTTTTTTCCCAATTTTTTTTCCATTTAATAATCATTGTACAATGTTTATCATTAAAATCTTGATATTTATATTGTTTTTATCTTCATTTGATTCATTTATAATGATCAATGCACAACGTAATCCAACAATATCATTTATAAGTAAAGATAAAGTAGTGAATATTGGTGATAATCTTGAGCTGAAATGTCAGGCACAAGATGCTGAAAGTTATCCGGTTGCATGGACAAAATTAAGTCCATCCGCTGATCAAGAACAAGTATTCATATCGAAAGGACAATCAATCATTATACCAAGTAATCGTCATCAAATTCTTTATGATGATCGTGATTCAACATATACATTAATAATTGAAAAAATTCAAGAAATTGATGTTGGTATTTATCGTTGTGAAATAACAACAGCAGTTAATACAAAAATATGGGCCGATGTACCGGTTATTGTACGTATACCACCTGTTATAGCGGATAATTCTACACGTTCGGTTATAACAGCTGTTGGTGAACGTGTTACATTAAAATGTTATGCATCCGGATATCCAACACCAATGATTAGTTGGCGTCGAGAAAAGAATCGTTTATTACCAAATCAGATGGCTTTTTACAAAGGCAATAATCTTACTATCGAACATGTTACCAAAGATGATCGTGGAACATATTATTGTGTTGCAGATAATGGTGTTGGACAAGGTGCACGTAGAAATATTGGTGTCGAAGTAGAATTTCCACCATTTGTACGAGCAGGAAGATCATTAGTTAAACAAGCATTACAATATGATGCTGATCTTCATTGTCATATTGAAGCATTTCCTTCACCATCCATTCAATGGTATAAAGATGGTCAAATAATTAATGATAATCAACATTATCAGATTAATACATTTGTACGTACTGATGAATTTATTGATACAACTTTACGTGTACGAAGAATTGAAAAACGTCAATTTGGTATCTATATTTGTCAAGCAAATAATAAATTAGGTACAAATCAAACAATGATTGAACTTTCTGAATCGGTTAATATTGTTTGTCCACCGGCTTGTGATGTTGGTTTTTATCTAAGTGATGCTACGGCAACCAAACATTATTATCATTATGGATTTTTATCAATTTTCATTATTATGGCTATCATGATTTCAAGATGACCGGTATATATTTGAAGAAAAAACTTTGAGTGCAATTATTAGGAATGCCAAAAAAATGAATCAAATAATCAATAAAACAAATATTTTTTGCTTGTAACTTGGAAAACTGCCCCCCTCCATTTGAGAATGATTGGCTTTATTAATTATATTGATTATTATATGAAAATATTTAACTTTTTTTTCTGTATTTTTGGATGAATTGGATTTTATTGATTTTTGCTCTTATTTTTTTTTTTTTTGGTTGACATGTTTTTAATGATAAAAATATTTATGTATA